AAAAGTAGCACGTACTTGTTCTTGATGGTGATTTTGTTGAATCTTTGATAATCAACAAATATTTACAATGTTCCATATTTTTTCTTCACAAATAAAATTGTAGCTCATGCTTGAGATTTGGAATGGTATATGAAGTTTTTAGCTAGATTCTCTTCAATATGCTCCTTTAATTTTGCCAACTTATTTTGTGATAAATTATAAATTGATCCAAATAGAAATTAAGCTCCTTCTTAAAGGTCAATTGAGTAGGCATAGGAATGATGTTTCAAAAGAGTATCTACATTCTTCTTCTCAAATCTATCTTGAAAATCTTAATATTGACTTGAAATACCACTTGAAGTCTTTTTACTATTAGAAACAAGAGTGACATAAATGACACAAGATAATCTTTCTTTTGTAGTATGTAAAAAAAGTTATTGCACTTACAAATACAAGATTAGTTACATTAAACTTTTGACTTTTTATTTGATTAACTACACTTTTAATTATATTTTTAGAAAATTTATGACTATAATAATTCCAATCTATTTTAGGATTATATTTTTTTAACTATGATAAATCTAAAATAAATAGATTAAAAAAAATCTAATGATATTAAATACTACAAAATTATTATGACTATTAGTTATTACTTCTATACAAAGGATTTTATAAATAACATCTCTTGAAAACAATGGCTGACCATTTATAACTTCTACATGAATAGGATTAGTTTTCTTCACAAAAAATATGCTATGTCTTTTAAGAAATTCTTCATCTAAGAAACATGCTAAGGCTCCTAAATCTATTAAGATAGATGCTTTGTAATATTTAGGTCCTAAAACAATAATTATTATAAAAGAAAGAAAATTTTTTAAAGAAATAATAAGACCTTCTTTAGGTATTGCACAAGATTCCAATCGCATGGTCCTTATTGTAGCTAGACAAACTTATTTTTTAACATACTATTTTTTTTGAAAACCATAAATCTCATTTAGTGATTGCATTGGTTCTTTGGACAATGTTAAGTAATGTATTTAAGTTCTCTATAATATAAGAATAATCCTTCTTGATGACGACAAGTCTTTTTTTGCTCAATAAGAGGTTTGAAAATGTACCCCATCAATTTCTATATCCTCTACTTTCAAATGTATGTGTTAACAAGATATTAATTTCACCATCTAATTATAATAACGTTGATGCGCACTTAGACAACTCTCAAATTAAAATTTAAAAATTTAATTATCACACCTCACAACAAGGTTGATTGCTTGATTCAATGTTTGAGGATCAAGTAAATTGAGTATCAATTTTTTACCTTATATTGTAATTTTTAGAAAAATTAGCTAAAAAGTGCAACATCATTCCACTTAATATCAATTGCAAGTTTTCAAAACTATGAAGTATATAATATTATTGATCAATTATTTTATTGCAAAATATAAATCTTGTTGGTTGTAACATAAATTGGATTATGCTCTCCATACATGGATTAAATTTCTATCAATAAAGCCTCGAGAATATTCAATATTGGATCTCATCATTGAAAAAGAGATGAAAACCATGATAATGGTGAACTTGAAAGAAGTGTACCAATGAATCTAACTTGTAATCCAAGAGTTAGATAACTTTGAGGTTGAAGTTCAATCATAAGTTGTACTTGATTAATAAATCCTCAAAATTTGGATCTCATGCCATCAAACTTGTTCAGTAGTACAAATCTTGGTTTTCTAATACTAGAAGGATGTTCCACCATAAGAGAAGGGACATGATTTCATAAAGATTTTGAAATAGCTCCAATCATTTCTATGTCTTTGCTCCTTGCCATTCTTCTTACTCATTGTGGTGGTAAATTGAATTGATGCATGGTATAAATATAAGATGCATCAATTTAATTTACCTTAACTGCTCTTACATTTATACCATTGCACTTTTCATTTGAAAAAGTTGTATCATGATAACACTTAGAAAAGAAAAGATGTCTAATATTATCCAAGAAAAATAGAAGAGAGGATTTGAGAGCAAAGAAAATACTAAGAAAAATATTAGTTTAAAAGAAGGTAATTCATAACTTTTAATATATTTATGTCTTATTAAGAAAAAAGAGTAATCTACTCTTAATCAAGAAAGACAAAGCTTTGATATTATAAGTATATACTTGTCAATCTGTTAAAGATAAGAATCCAGTCAAATCAAATAATCAAATAAATTTTTTTTCAAAGAAATATGATAAAATAGAAATAAAAAAAATATATATTAAAAAAAAAAAAAAAAAACTAAAGTCTCTTGAATCTAGATAGAACAAAAAAAATTAACAAGAGTGAAGTAGGCTTCACTCTTACGTCTATATATACTATCAACTTAAGAACTACATGATAAAGTTCTATAAAATCTTCAACATGTATTGACTTTGCAAGCCACATATCTTAACTTACAAGGCTAGTTTTCTATGTATGTGCTACATAGTTAGCTTATTCCACAAGTTATCCATAAAGGTGATATGTCGTTAATTTTTTGACTAAGTTTTTAATCTAAAAGTCAACTATAAACATGTGTAAAGTCAAGATTGTGTCTATAAAGCTTCTATAAAGCTTTTCTAGAAGATATTATGAAATTAATCTACTTTTACCTATTTTTATGTACTTCTATTTAATCATATAAGTAATTACTAGAATAAATATGTATATCTATGATAGTATGTCTATGATACCAATACGTGTTGACTTTGCTAGACATATGTCTTAAATTATAACAAAAGTTTTTTATATATGTACCACATAGTTAACTTGTTCCACAAGCTACCAACATGTGTGGCATGTGGTTAACTTGGTGATTAAGTTTCTAATCTATCAATTATCTACAAACACGTATAAAGTCATAATCCCATCAATGATGCTTTTAGAAAGCTTCTCTAGAAGATATTATGAAATTAATCTTTATTTATCTACTTCTACATAATTATATAAGTAATTATTGGAATAAATATGTATCTTTGTGATAGATGGCTATAATTGTGGCAGCTAAGGTTGATATAGCACATACTCTTATAATTGCCATAGTGAAGACTCCTACCTCAAGTTTGATTTGTGTTTTTGCTTGTGCCTCATCTTTATGAAGTAGATTTTTGCCTTCTTACTAATATGTGTCATTTACAATGTGGCAATTAGGAACATAGCAAGAGGACTAATTATTTGGGATAAGAAAAATTTTCTTTCCAAGGGCTTTATTCCCAAAGGCCCCTATAAAGATAATGCTCTTTGGTCTTGTTTCTTGACTAGTTAGCAAGACCATTGCAATGGAAGGTATTGCTTTCTTGACTCTCTTGCACTAGTTGTAAATATTAATTAGGATGTAGCAATATTAATTAAGATGTAGTAATATTAATTAGAAATGTAGCATTAATAATTTTCTAATATATTATGTTTGTTAAAATATATATATATATATATATATATATATATATTATTAAATTAGTATTTAAAGTATTTAGGAATTATTTATAATTTAAAGATTTTTATATTTTATAAAGTTTATTTTATTTTATTTATATTTATTAATTTTTATATAATTTTTAAATTAAATAAATGATAAAGAAATTATTTATATTAAATAGATGAATATTTGTAAAAAGTCCTATAATTTTGTATTATAATTTTACTTAAAAAAATTCACGATCTTTTATTTACAATCTTCATAAAGGATTATTTATAATCCTTATAAATCTTGATTTGTTTGAGATTTCTAATGGATTTAAAGTTTTAATACATATATATATACTTAATATTTAAACCTTAAATATTACAAAATTAATATTTTTAAAATACATACAATAAATAACATTTAAGTTTATAAATAAAGAATTAAGTAGTCATGCACTGTATCTTTTTATTCATTTTATACATTTTATGACTAATAATTAGAAATATTAATTTTTTAAATTTATTTGTATATAAAATCATTATATTCTTTGCATGATAAATGTTTTTCATATTTTTCATGAACTACAACTAAGTTAACATATCATTATAACTACAATTAAATTGAATATGTAAAAAAAGTATATATTTACATCTGGTTAGGTGGCAAATTCTTAATGTTTGTAGTATAAAAAAATCATAATAAATTTATACATAAACACCACCAAAAACATTGAAAAGCACAAATTTACTATCAAATATTTTCCTTGGTTTTGTATTAGAATATATTGTCCAAATAATTGTGATTTTTAAATAAGAAAGCTATAACATGAATATTTTTCGAAAATATTTATATAAATAGATTATGCAAATTTTATTTATGAATTCAAAGTCTCTCAAAGATATGATGTTTTAAAAAAAAAAAATAGTAAAGATTAATAAAAAAGAAGTAAAAGTCCAATTACTTTATACCATCAATTCCTCAAAGAAGCATCAAAACAAGAACCAAACAAATTTAAATAATCATATGAGACATTTTAAACCATGTTATGATGTGACAACTTTACACTATAAAGAGTTTAACAAAGTCAAATCAAATAAAAAAATGTGACGTGTTCAAACATTTTACAACCACATACCTTACATTGAATTGAAGGTGGTTTTAACAACACACCATTTACTAACATGTTAATCTTCATGCATTTCATTAACATATCAAGATTTTTAAGTATTGTTAGAACTGGTGATCTAACTTTACACCTAACCTTATACAAACCCTTGTGATTCACTAAAAAATTGACAGGTCTTCCTACATACTAAAACTTTGATGAAGAAACAAATAAGTATCCTGATTGATAGTTATAAGATTAACAGTTGAAATGAATTCAACTCCTGGTCTTGTCTACAATAAGTAGTCAACATGTTGACACCTCACCTATTGATTTCAGAGACAGCCAGGTGTGCTACCAAGATTGTACATAGACTTTTTGTCAGTATAATAGTTGTTATTACCCTTTGATATAATGTACCCATGCATAGTAGAATGGATGTCTACCATAAAGAAATTAGCATCCGTCTATACACATGATGTTGTGCACAATTGAGGAACATAAAAACTACCGCACAGAAGTGGGATCTGAATGAACCTCAAATGAGTAAACAAACGTTAGACTATATAGAAATATGTAAAAGCTGGGCAAATATGAGTCCTCCATTTGTCCGATGATCAAGACAAGTACATACATTAATGTTACGGCTTCATATAAAAGAATAATCAGGATATAGATAGATATGGGCACTAGTCCAAGGAAAAATATTTGCAGGATTGGCTCACTGACACTTCGTTTTTAATCATAATGATCATGCACATTTACATTGCAGCTCGGGTAGCAAGCAGCATGATGATCAACAGGTAGACATCGTCAATTAGTAGGAGGCCAGTGCTTGGCTATACGCTCTATTCCATCCAAAGACAATGTATTGTTCACCTGCAATAAAAAGGACGCATTAAAATAAGTGTCGAGCTATCAAAGGATAAGGCATCTCAGCTGGTGCGACACAATTTTCATCCAACACTAAGTGCTATGCCTTGATCTGTACACCTAGTGAGCTCAAAATTAGTTTGAGCTTTGTAAAGAACTGGTGGCTGCCTAGTTCTTAGGAGATTATATTGGACCAGGTTGGTGTGAGCAATATCCTGCACTTGCTCTATTAATGAGGTAAATGCCTGCGCAGGTTGGAGCAACTCACCATTTCGTTGTGACGAGCTCTAAAAGCATCACAAAATTTCTGAGCCGCTTCCGGCAACAACTGTTCAAGTGCACCAAGTCAAAACGATAAAAAGCGCACATGAAAGTTGCCAAAAGGTAATTCACCGAAGGCGTGAGCAGTCTTACGACCCTTATGCAAACTCTCACAAATTAAGTGGTTCGAAAACTTCTTAAAAAAAGTGACGAAATTGTTTTTCTGAATAAAACGCTACCAAAAATCCTGAAACCATTCACCAATGAGCAACATACATAACACAACATCTCAGGGCAATCAGGACAATACGTAGTGCACGTTTACGGTTAAGTATTAAAATAGAAAATTTATCCTTTGTGCCAAACTATTAAAAAAAAATACAAATCTTCATTGTTGGACATAAAAAGTGATGTCGTTTAACTTAACGAAAGCTATCACATACCTGCTGCTCTGCTGCTGCCTTCAACTGATCCCAGAAGTTTCCTACACATTTCAACCGCAACCAACATGTCAAATTCGATGCTCTCTGTTGTTGAAGATACCATATCATCAGGTCAACGAGTGAAACGGGTCTCTGAAACGTATATCTTTTCAAACTGAAGATGGAACATTAAATGCTCTTTTCAGACTTTTGATAGGAGACTACCCCACTGTGATGATCAGTGCTGAGAGGCTGGAACTTGTTATTGAGTCAGAACGCAAACAGAATCCGGAATGCGGAATTTTTCGAAATCACGACGTCAAACAGGAAAAATGAGAAGTAAAATGAGAAGTGTTTTTGCAAAAGCCAACATGGACAATAATGTCAACATTTCTACAAAATATTATCAAGTAAAGCTGTAGTTGACATACACACGCATGTTTAATGAGAACAGTACCTTTACTATGCAAGGATGCAAGTGACATTTGTGGCGTACTCTTGTCTGTATCAGTTTGTTCCCTGTTGCTCTCAGTGTCTACCTGTTCCATTCCAAAGTAGTACTCGAAATGAGATGGACTATTACAACATGTTATTGATGCAACTGCAATCTATTCTCCTGTTCAAAAAAATAGGCAGTACAAGTTTTTCCTGTAGAAGTTTAGGTATATTGGACAATGAATAAGGCCAAGAGACATAATTGATACATGATGACGAATTATAACAGCGGTTGCGGATTATTAGACCCAAAAGGTTCTTTACATATCACTTTAGGTCAGAGCATCCACAACAAGTATTTTCACATATGCCTGCAATAATCAAGTGAATGCCAGGTATCTTAAACAATGTCGTTTTTACTCAGAAAGAGGTGTAACTTAAAAGAACATGGAGCAAGTACCTGTTGCAACTCGACGTTTGAGGAAGCAAGGCTGAATCCTGATGGAACCCGCCTACTAGTACCGACCGCATCATCTGCCTGTTAGGGTCAACAATTCCAAAGTTTAGAAGGAATGTGAAGGATTCGCATGTTTAACAGTACGAGAGAGAACAACACCAAATAAAAGCTCAATCAGAAATGAATACAGAGTAATGCATGCAAAAGAGAAAACCGACAGGGCATTCGGGATCGAAAACTTGGGATGATGAACAAGATTTGACGAATAAAGCAAAGTGCATCTTCCTTTACTGCAATGTAGGAGGTATACACAGTAGGAGCGTGATCGAACGATTGGGAACATCCCCAGCAAACGTTGAAATTGGTCCTCCTCCATAATCCCAAAAAGTCCCTCTCAATGAAGCGCTTTGATCGTTCCTTCTCGCTGCTTTGGATGTTCGAGTCTCTATCGTCTCGCGAATAACCCTTCTAGTTGAACCCCCAAATTAAAATTCCTGAATGAATGGGAAATGGCGAAAACTATGACACTGCTCGCTGCTTTAAGCCTTTGATGTGGCACTGTCAACCCGCTTATCTGCAAGGCAGCTGGGAACATCAAGATGACGTCACATAGAAATGGGCCGAGAAAAGCAGGTGTATGAAGACCTAATTTCAAAGGCGAGCCATTTATGGCATCCACTAATATCGACAAAGTTTGTAAGCATCAATCAACTACAACTTCCCACGAATGATGAATAAAAAAGAAGTAGTAAAATATTCATGTGGCATCACAATCAACAAAACCATTGACTGATAGCTTCAGAGTCAGAAAATACTTGGAGTTAGGCTGAGTGAAACAAATTAACCTGTTTCGCACGTACGATGTTAAGTTCCGTAATGAATAACGAGAAATGACCGGGTCACAACAGGCAGGAGCTAAATTTAACTACAGCGTTGAAGCCTTACTTTTAGTTTGCTTGCAATGAGTCTTTTCTCCTCATGTATCACATGCAAAAGAACACACGAACACTAAAAGAATCTGATAAACGCCTCCTGCACAATCCCAAACACACAACAAGATTTGAATAATCATATTGTCAAACATGCTTCTCAATTTCTTACATGCCAATGTTACAATAACACACGACTTGTGGGATTTAAGACGGTGCTTCCTTTCTCAGTTATTTTCATTAAATCTCATCAGCGAAATTGTACCCATCGACAACTTCGGCGGCACATCATCATTGTGTCATCTCAAGGACAAGGACCAGATCAAAAGACGAAACCAAGACTCTGCATCACAGGGAAGTTCGCTACAACCCTACAACAATGAGGGCTCCAGAAAGCAATTCAACATGCAAAATGCCGTTCTCGGATACGCACAGATTGAACAATCTCCGACAAAGAGCCTACCATTTTATCCGTAACACTACGAAAAACCAACTAGGCGATCTGATCCAGTCAAAGCATACAACAGTTCAACAACTCGTCGACCCATCTAAGAAAACCTCCCGTATCACGTCATCTCCACCACCACCGTCCCGAATTTCTACATTCCTTCCACGTCAACCACTACATAAATTTCCAACCCAGTGCAATCCACCACTGCATTATAAAACTACAAAAAGAACACCCATCACCTCCATACCAAGGCCACCACGCACAATCCCCGACACAATACCTTAATACCCTACCAGCAATTGTAATTCCACCACTTCTGACAGCGCGAATTGAATCATACAGGAATTTCTCTACCTCGCAATTCGATTCCCGACGAACAAAAAAAAATGATCGTGCAAGCAAGATTGCATATATACTTACGTAGAGGTTGAGGTCAAAAAGACATGGTGCTCAAGCGTCGATAACCATACAAGTTAATTGAACACCAACAACAGAGCAATTTGAGTGTGAGAAACGGGAACATGAGCAATCACATTTAGGGTTTTCATACTGGGCAGAATGACCGGGATAGAAAAGATAAAGCACAGTAAAGGTAAAGTAGTTTTACTGTGGTGATCATAAATGCATTGAATATTTGTAGTCTGGAAATAAATAGACAAAAAGAATTATAAAAGAGGAAATAAAAGAAACGAGGATGAAGACGAAGGACCAAGGGAATCTAGATGAGGATAAAAGCAATGGACTGGACATAGCCTCGTTGATGCTTGGCGTAGCCACGTCCATTCCCCATATCCTCAAGTTCTCCCCCCGGCTTTCTCAGCCTGCTAGAGTCAATAGTCTGCAAGCATATTGGATCCTACGCTACAATTGCAATCGTGACTACGTCTAGAGGATTTGTGTTTGTAGAAGAAAGCATTAGCGAGGAATCATGTTGCCATCATCTCAAGCGATGGTGAGCAGGGCGGGAGGCTCACCGTCCGGTCTCTTCAGGAACAATTTCTCGAATGCAGGATATGGGACTTCACGGCAGAATCCGCTGATGGGTAGCGGGAGATTGCAGCGAGTGTCGTGGAAACAACAAGGAAAGACGGGATACGGCGCATTGGAGGCCCAGGTGGGCAAGAGTAACCAGATAATTTCCCCTGCGGGAGTTCGGTGCCAGGTGATCAGCGTCAATCAGGACAATTTCGACGCGGAGGTGCTGCAATCGAAGCTTCCGGTGCTCGTTGATTTCTGGGCTGATTGGTGTGGACCGTGCAAACTCGTTGCCACCAGCATGGAGGAGGTGGACAGTAAGTACGAGGGGAAGTTGAAGGTTGTGAAGATTGAGACTGATCCTAACCCTGAGCTTGTAGCGGAGTATAAGGTTTATGGATTGCCGACGCTTATCATGTTCGTTGATGGCAAAGCCGTTCCTGATGGACGCTACGAAGGCGCGATATCGTTTACGAAAATCGTGTCCATGATTGAGAAATGCCTCCCTTCTCTTGCAGCTGCTTAGGTCAGCACTTGATTGTCACGGCTTTTCGTTACTTTGATTGCCATGATTAGTCGAAACTTTGGGAATACATCCTGCTTAAGGTAATGCCTCAGCTGCAATCAATGTACTATTTACTTGTCAATGCTGCAGTTTGCTTAAGATTCAATTGCTCGCTTCCCATTATCAATTCTGATTGAAATTTTAGAACGAGATTCGTCACTATGGAACTGCCGAACATATTTGATTTTTGAGAAAGGCGTGTCTATTGATTTTTGAAGGGAAATGGTTTGTTGATTAGGTGTACACTGTTCATTCAAATCTCCAAGGATTCAATGCTCAAAGACTCATCGTAGATTCAAATCTCCTGAAGAGTCTCAATGTATCAGTGCATGAGAGTTTCCAAAGTAGTTTGTTCGTTAACGTTGAAGTAGAAGGATTGGGTTCGTTTCAGGGAGAGTGTTGGATTCCATAGTCATTGAGTCGAAAATAGCATTCTACCAAAAGTAACACTTGTTTGTTCAACATTGCGCTCTGCTTGTACAATTCTATGATTGAATCCACCTCAAACACTACTAAAGAACTTTGCATAGTATTCTTTAAAAAATTATTGTAAATACGTTTTATGTATGTTTCTGAACATAATTTTTAACTATGACTTGAGTGATTCTCAGCATTATTGATTTCCAAAAACTACGAATGTTTTGGTGCAATCCGCACGAGGAAGGAACTGTGGATCACTGGATGAAGACTTCGCAATCAACCCCAATGACCATGGTAATGCAGCACACACTCAACAGAATTTCTAAAACATACCCATCTGCTTGTTCTAGTATCACGATTTCCTAGTATCTGTCATCGAAAGATAAGTCTGGTGCTATTGATGTAGTCTATGATTATGGTAAAAGTGGAACAATAGAGGGATAGAAGGCTATGCAGACTCATAACAGATAGAGCACAGAAACAGGAGTACATTGTTGCAAGAAATATTGTTGTGAGTTGATCTGAGCACGTATGGCACAAAAATTGGTGGGCTGTGTAAGTGTATACATCCAGTTATTTCCAGCAAGCGGTAAATCCTGAAACATGAGACTTGTGGCCTCATTGTGCCTTTGTTAGTGTCTATTGCAGACAGTATGGAACACCCCTAAATTAAATGGAAATTTGAAACTTTACGGTAGAAGTTTGAGCCGTCTTGGTGGCCATGCTACTCTTATCTGTGGTTCCTTTCTTCGTCCTGCTTCTGCTCTGCCTTCTCTATGTCTTCGTACAAACCAACCAAAACTCCCAAACGCTCCTTCCTCCACATCCTCAAAATTTCCTCCGGCAGTCTCCTTTCTAAAAGCAATAAGATCCTCGCAGCACGCACCGCAAAAATGTGCTGCGAAAGCGCGAGACCACGACAGACGAATCTCGATAACATCTACACATTAGATGTATCTAGACACCCTCCTGATCGCGATATTAAAATGATATTTATCTAAGAGTCACTTCTGTGCTCGATCTCCTAGTTATCAACTTTCGTACTCTATTGTCTTTATTCAACAGAATACCAAATGATCAAGAATTAAGATTATCAATCTGACGTTTGAAGGCTTGTCGAGATGAGGTTAAAGTGCAAATTTGGTATGTGCAACGATAGAATGTACAAGGACAAAAGAAAGTACGTAAATTTGAAGTGATTCGTATCAAAAACAAATTGTGATTAAATGCGACGTAGGACTGTCACTCGTAGATACGTCTGGTCTGGGTCTTCAGTTAACTTGCTAAAACAGATCTTGAAATTAACATTTTCCAAAAAATATTTTAAAATGTAAATAGTTTTCTTAAACAGCATACTTTAAAATGTAATTTGAAAATGTAGTGATGCAACAGCTGTGCCTGTAGTCGTGATTTGTTACCATTACGTGTTAGGATACATTGCAAAGTGATCGCTTGGTTACTTCATCCATTTTCTAGATCAGATGACGTTCAAACCTTCTAACTTTGATGGTTAAGTCAAGGATATGACGATGGTACAGTAAAATGTAGATTGCGGCAGGTCACTGAAGCTTGGTGGCGAACTTAATTACACCATATAATCAAGCAATAAATATAGAATAATTTAGTGTCAAATTGTGATATCTATATGGAGGATTCTGCTCAGGATGAAGACAAAAGACAGCTCAGACAGCGACTTAAGAAAAATTTCTAAAACACACACTACGAAAGGAGATACTACATGAAGATTTAATGTAGATCATAATCGCGAAACTAAACAAGTAATATCAGAGTACAACCTCTACAGATCATTACATTGCTTAAAATACATTGCAATACTAGATGATAATGGACATAGATTTTGGTTCTGGACAACAGTTGCAACAATTGAATAGTAGATTCTCTTAAACCATCCTGTTAAGCATCACTGATGTATGTAAATACGCATCGTACAATTCACTGGAAACGAAGTGAGAAAAATATTGAAAATCGGGACTCAGAGGGATTACTCAACGAGGATTGGTCGATAGTGCTGAAACACTACAGAGGAGAAAAAATGCAGCAGATCTGGAATACAAAAAGTGTAATCACTTACTAAAGTGTCAAAAGTGAAGGGACTTGCACGTAACGCTACAGGGTCAAACTCGAAAACTATAGAACCTACTGCGAGACCTTGCTTGTGATTGATTGAGAGCCTTCAAGCGTGTTGATGGTGGAGGTGATGATACTGGCTCATCCCCTTCATCAGAGCGCCAGCGACTGCCACCATTCTCGTCAGCCTCTGCATTCCTGATCCCACAAATTACAATGCCACGTCAATTATTTAGCAACAGAAGATAAAGGAAGCTGACAAGAAGGTCGTTACAGAGTGAGATATCCTGAGACCAGAAACGACAAATCGATATCTCGTAAAATAATTCCAGACCACTTAAAAAGACATTGGGCATCCATACGGATACAGAAAGAGAGTGTCGAGATAAACCAACCTCCTGGAGGATTCCCGGGGTAACACACCAGTGTCCTGTAATAGCTCATTTCCACCATTGGTGCCTTTAAAGGTGAAGTCCTTGGATGCTTCCTTCTCTACATCCTTCTGCAACCAGGACCGATCCGATGGGTGTCGTTTCCCATTAGATGGCCAGCTACTCGTCCCCCCCGCATCCATTTCCATTGATTCGCCATTACCTGTTAGCAATTCATCTGTCCGAAATCCGTTCTCCATGGTTAAAAATAATTCATTGCCTGAATGATCAATTCCATTCATCTTCACCGGCATCCGCTTATCCAACCCACTTGCCCAAGAGCCTGGTCCTGCTGCATCCATACCATCACACCTTAGCGAATTTCCCAAGTCAACCGTGGGATAATGAGACTCCCTAGGCTGTTCAGCCTCGTAACCAAGACGCCGCCCTTGCACAGGGCTGTCTCCTAGTGTGGCAAACTCACGGGATGCAGTAGGTCCATTTGTTTTAGGAAACATGTTTGAGAAAATCGGAGATGGAGGTGCAGGTGATCGAAGTCCTAAACGTTCTTGAGCAAAGGAAGGTTGACTAGAACTAGCCCAAGCAGAGGTGGATGGAACATTGTTTTCTTCAAAAGCCACAGGTTCCCTGATCAGGTTCCCAGCAGCAGAACCGAAGAGAGGAGAGGCTAAAGGAGGGAATCTCTGTTGGTCCACGGCCAACATTCTAGATTTAGGTGACTCCACGTTAGGTTCACGAGACTCAACAATAGCGCTGGAAGCCTGTTGCCGCTGCACCTCAGGTAGGAGCTCCATGCACTTTTCCTGTTCACAATCAATCGCTCTTCAATTCAAACTAGAAATCGAATTCGGTTACTAGAAAAGAGTAAAAACTAATTCCGGGAGATAGAACGGACAGTCATTAAGCCTATTGAGCTCCAAGTGCTGAAGTTCATCGCACTGAGATAAGACATTCCGATTTATAGAAGCATGTGTGCTGAAACCTAACGTTGTCATGTTCCACAATTTGGAAATTAAAGCACGAGAGAAAGCACTTACAACAATGCGGAGCCTCTGTTCACTTGCCATACGAACCCGAGAGTTCTTCGCTCCGTCAGTGCATCTTAGTACCCACATATTCTCAAGTTCGCTCAATCTTTTATGCACATCACGTGCTTCAATGTACCGACATCGCTATCAACGAAAACAAGAAAAATCAGTTTGTCATTTCGAAGCAAGAGGCTCAAATAAACTTGCAGCAATAGAAACAGTGACTGGTTTCAAAACTCTAGTGTATCGCATTGCCGCAACCTCAAACATGACGCACTACATGTTTTAAAGCATGTAGATCATATGCTTCACCCCGACTACACATATCTACACAGATAGAAACAATATCGGTACCAAATCATATCCTGCTTTGTATGAAATACCATTTTATCCAAGAATCTAATACAAACCAATTACACAAATCTAGAAGCTCAATAACTTGCACGGAAAATTCGAAACTTTCAAAACTTTCTCATGTTTCTACAAATCACCTCTGTTATGATGAAACACAACCAAACGAGAACTGTTAATCCCCAATTTAAGCTGTATGTATTGCCCCTTGCTTATGATTGAATAATTTGAAATAGATATGTAAGAAAGAAAAAGAAACATGTGTAGCACCTGTACGTAAAAGACAACCAGAAGGTTTCCGGCCGTGCACGACGGGTCTTCTTCAGCACGATTAAGTAAACACTTCCGCACATACTTTTCTTCCTCTTTCCTCCATGGCAAACCTAACATTTTATCCAATAAGCTCATACCCATACACAACCTGGAGATTTCGCTCACCAACACCTCCGTGCTTGTTAACCAATCACCCTCTTCCCGCTTAACACCATCGACATAGGCCCTCTGATATGAATAGCCTTCGGTAAGAAGACCACATTGAAGCCATACCCTAACGGTTGTAAGAGCATCCGAAAGAGGAACAATCCCTGATCCCAGGCCATGGAGTCCACTCGCACGAAGAACGGCAAGCGCTACCTCAGGTTTCCGACGCTCAAGCAGCACAGTGGCGACTTTTGGATGTGTGTTGTGACTAGCAATTTCCGGCAGTAACTGACAAGCCTCCTGAAAATCGTGATACCAAAATTCTTATTACATATCTACCAGCAACAGCACGATAGCCAAATGTATTCAAGAGGGCAAACCCTGAATGAGGATCCAGACGACTCGCGATCATAAGAACACAGATATGAAATAAGTAAACCAAAACAAGAAGTCGAGTTCGTCACTAGAAAACTAACCTCCAGGGCATGATCGCTACTGTCATCGAGAAGGTAAAATACAAGAGATTCCAGCATGAGATGTCTCGGGATGCTGAAAATGCTTGCGTAGTCATCCACCACTTCTCGCCACTTCTCATCAGAAAGTCCCCAGTGACGATCGAATAAAAAGTACAGAAACTTCAGAAGGATTAAAGAATAAAACAAAATGTATACGGAACCATTAGATTATTGCCTCTCAGAAACAACCCAACAATTATTGTCAAAACAAAACATCAACAAAACTACGGTCAGAAGACTGGTGACTTTCGTTCTTTTCACCTAAGATTTTGAACAGTATGAGAAATTAGGTAGGTATTGTGACGCTCGGCCCTAGTATGGAATACCCTATAATAATTGAAAAATGGTCCTATATGTGCCATGGAAAAGTAGGAAGCAGGCACCAGAAAAAATCAAGCATGGACGTTTGGACTTCTAGAGACATAATCAGGGTATTAAGCGATGGGAAAATGAAGGATACAATTGCCTTCTTGGCGAGTACGAGATCACAGGCTCCCTCCAAAAACAAAAGATCCACAGCGGTGCGGACACTTTCAGGCGGGTAGGGTGACGTTGATTGCATTGGCTCGTCACATCTGAACCTAAGGGAAGCTGGAGTGTGAGCAGTAGGTCCCTGACGAAGCCAACCGAGCTCTGGGAGATCTTCCGACCCCATTTCATCTTCATTGTCATCGTCAAGAAGACCAAGGTTGGCTAATGCGTCCTCAATAAAAAGGGTAGCTGGTTGTGAATCTCCTAATTTACTTTTCTTGTCAGTTACTGACCATGCCCTATCCTGAGCCACCAACTTCCGTTCCTTTACAGCTGTATGCCACTGGCTGATACTTTCATAACTTGATCGAATGGTTTCCAGGAACTGATGTCGAGCACACCAAGCCATCACTTCCAAATGCTGCAGAGCACATCTCAAGATGTAAGTCACAACAACGAAAAACTTAAAACTTAACCCATCAAATGCTCTAACAGGCGTAACTATCTGAAAAAGAGAATCGTTATTTTTGGTTCACTCATGGTTAGTTTAAGTATAAGACATACACAAATTCAAAAAACACCCATCTAAAATAAACCATCGAATATGCAAAAGCATATAAATTTAAAATAGTAACACTTCGACATATGTTTAAAGTTAAACAAGAAACAAGTTAGCATTGAAAAAAATTATAATTATGTCGCCTCAACACAAAAATTATCTTTCTTAAACATAGTTGCAAGCTACAATTATACTAACAAACACGCGCATGGAGCGATATATGATTGATCCCTGTAGACATGCTTACCTGGACAACTTTGCGAATAGATTCCAGAAGCTGACGAAGCTCATACAAAGTTGGCGAAAGAGGTTGATCCACAAGTGGTGCCTCAAGAGCTTCTAAAACATGAATAACCCCTCCTAACTTTCTCCCCTTCCACTCTATAGTGTCTAATTTAAATATCATCTGTCTTGGACTGAGATTGTCTATGTTGAGCATGTCAAGGGTGTCACATAATCACCTCCAGCTAGCAACGAAATCAAATACACCGGATTACTAAACAATTGATGACAATTATGGTAATCCATTACAAGCTAGATGAAGAACGCCCACCACTAACAACCAAAACTAAATCAAGGTTACATTGTATGTACAAAAAGCGAGGATGGATACAGATATCTCGTAGTTCCAGAGCTATGTTGTGAAAGGTCCGCTTGCACCAATTTTTCACCACACCTCCATCCAATAATATGGACACCATTGCATTGCTGGAAACAGCACCTTCATCCATACACACCTCTGCAACATCTGATTCCCCAGTATCAAGGTAAAACTTGTCTGTAAAATGAATACAAGCATCAACACTGACGCGCTCTAAGTGCTATGTGCATAACTAACTTCTGCACATATAGCCTAATGATTATATCAAAAAAAAAACAAAAAACAAAAAAACAAAATAACAAAATAAAACAAAACAAAACAAAGATGCGATAGTTCCATATTTATGAAAGCAAAGCATGCATGTTGCTGATAGAGCGATCGCAATATTATAGAAAAAATTAAAGCAGTCTAATTTTATGCAACGTACACCTGACATTATTAATAGAGATGCACAACTCAAGGAGGTAAAGAGGATACAGTGGCAGATCAATGACACAAGACTATTGTCTAATGCCACGTCGAAAAATGAATAAAGGCGACCAACATCTGCACCCTCTGATAACAAATCTGAATTCTTTTGTATAAGTCCTGCATCAACACATTCGTCATAAAGTCGCAACTGGTGTTGCCCAGAACTACCCGTAGGAGTTCTACAAATTGGACAGCTGATAGTGCGTTGAAGACATTCAACACAGAGACAAGCATGGCCACATGTTGAAACGACATGATGAACAGCTCGCCCACAGCTACGTAAATCACGAGTAGCTCTGCAGGTTTCAGTCTTTGCTTCAGCACTTAATTCGCGAGGCTCTAGTAGTGCCAAACGCTCCAGCGCAGCCTGCTTGATCAACATTACAAATTAGTAACTCCAACAATCTGTCCACAAGCTAATCCATACACCACATTGAATGAGGGGTATTTGTCTACGGGTAAGGAATCCAAATGAGGAGCTTAACAAGCTTTGAAATACGCAAAAGATCTAGCAAAACATTGTAAGCAGAGAGTAAAACATCGAATGGGAAGAACGACCCTTTTTGTGCTTCACTGGCTGCTTAACAATTCAACAGTGTTTAAAACTTATCCTTGCACTGCCCTTCAAGTAGTGGCTCTCACGGGTTAATGATCCTTTTACGTATAAACTTGCAAGGACTGAAAGAGAAATGTGAATATATATATATATATATATATATATATATATATATATATATATATAACAAGTCGCCATCTACACATAACGAGAATAGGAAAATCTAGCTTCAAGCACTAATGTCAAGGGATTCAAATCGTCATTCTGAATACATTGTAACGCACAACAAAATCACAACTAAGATGAACGACTACACCACTCTAAAACTAAACAACAGAATATGACCTTGTCGATGTGATGCTGAGACCTACAAAATTCAACCATAATGCAAATTATAGCGGAATTTCATGAGTACTTAAAATAACGGGAGCGTGTATCTAATTCTCTGCTACCAAGTTACAAAGAATCGCCGGAAAATTGCATCTCCCAAACCAAGCAAACCCAAGTGCAGCCAGAAATATATGATTGAGATTCAAGCACCCACTGGGGCCACTAATCCTTGCTGCATAGTCCAATGTGAAATTTAGAACATGAGAAATGAAAACTTGTATAGCTTCAGTGTCCAACAAATATAGTGCAGCCAGATGCTAATGGCAAAATGATTCTTAGAAGATAGAGTGCCAACACGATAGTTCCGACAATGGTGCGATATTCATATAGAAATAACGTAGCACGAATCAGGATTTCCATATGGCTCCACAACTCCATACTCTGTCTCAAAACTAAGCGATCAACCTAAACCTAAAAGCTAAACCCCTCATTTTATCAACGTTCTAGATCAAATCCCTAGCTACCAAGCCGCACCACAATCAAAGAGAGACCCCATAAACGAGGGGGTCAGCAACCGCTTGAAGCTAAATGCAGGGCTTTGGATACACGAGGTGTTCAAAACTACTAATTTCGTGCACGAACCGTCTATTTCTAAAATAAGGGACGTAATGCTATTAATGGAAAATCAAGTTTGTTTCTATTGCTGCAGACATGAGTAGGACCACAATTTGCTTCTCCACATAAATCAGCCGCATGCTTGAAATTGGAACTGTCTACACTCCAATACAACAAGAAAAAAATACACTTAGATGACATTACTCTCGAGATGACCTTGTTCCTCACAACAAGTGAGCAAAAAATTATGATGGTTCAGAACACGTAATTAGGGACTAAAATTCACTCTTCCATTAAATAAGTACTATGTTAATATTTCTGAAATTCACACAGCGATGGGCTTCACAACGAATGATTACCACAGACTCCCACTTGAATAAAACGACACTGCTTCAGCGAAACCTGAGCCCTACCGGAAACATTGAGTTTCCACGAATTGAACCAGTTTCCGAAGTAAGATTCGATCATGATCCTAACGAGGACAGCAACACACTATCGACAAAACCTTCACTGTAAAGCTTCTTCCTGAAGATTTTACAGCTAGCAATAATCCCAGGAAGGATCGTGAGGACATACATTACACTAAAAACTTCAAAAAGTATGCAGAACATCATGCTGAGAGTGACAGCGAATTTCCACAGTCCAAGTATTAAAATTCTGAATGTTGATTAAGGTTCGCAGACTGCAGATGATTCAAAACCCAGAATGTGCCGGGGGTAATTTCAAAGCAGGTAAAATAGGATAAACTGCGCAGGAAGCCCACGCTCCTAGGGCGCACGATAAAGAAAGAAAACTTGGGGGCTGATGCCCGAGAGGTTGAAGCATGATCGCAGTAGAGATCAACCGAGGGAGGAAGAGAGAGAGAGAGGGAGAGAGAGAATTAGCACAGTTCTCACTACTCATCCTAACAGCTACAATCCTCAAGACCAGAGTGTTTATTCTCCCCACTCGCGAACTCAAGAGTTCACTCCCTTAAGGTGTGCATAGGTCAAGAGCTCTACATCCAATGGGTAACATACCTCCCGTTTGGGACCACTGCCACTAAATGCCGCAGGAGTATCAACAGGGCCGACCTGAAAGGACTGCGCGAAATTCGAGAACTTATCCGCCATGGTGCTCATCACTCCTCCGCAACCTCACGCAACAAGGAGACCAACAACCAACTCTGTTTGCCCGTCCCACTCCGTTTCCTGCTCCTCCTAACCTCTAATCACCTCACAAAAAATCACACCGAAAAAAAAAAAAAAAAAAAAAAAAAAAAAAAAAACACACACACACACTCTCACTACTCGTCTACACCACTCCAAACCCTTAGACTCACACCAAAACCTCCCGAAGCCTCCGTTCCACGCAGCGACGCTCGTTTGAAACCTCCGACACACACACACGACGACCTAATAAGCACCTCACTGTATACTCCCTGCCCTTCTCATTGCGGAAGATGCAGCCAGCTGCAGCAGCCACGGAAATTGTGCGCAATCCCGTTCCTTAATAATCTGCCCTAAGACTACCATGTCTGGATGGTGTGATTGCTAGGCTTGCCGGTTCAGCCATGAGACAGGCCCCCCCTCCATCGCCCCTTCAAAGCCTTCCAACAACAACGAGGCCCCTCTTCCCCTCGAACTATGAACTCTCTGCCTGCGAGCCTCCATCGCCGGGAAGACACGCCCAGGATGAATGAAAAATGAATGAATGAATAAATTTCCGTCAAGGATCCAGAAGATGAATGAGGATGAATGCGTCCCGAGGGGTGATGAATGCGTCCTCAACGAGTCCTTTCCATTTTCATTTCCGGTCTAATCTAAATCCGTCGAACTTGTCATTCGTTAACATGGATGAAGTTTGGATGGATGAAACGAAGTGAAGTGAAGTGAAGAAATTCGGTGCCGTTAAATCATGTCCGCTTCGCATTCGATTGTGGCTTTGGGTGTTAGAGTGTGTGTGTGCGCGCGCGCTTGCTAGATGTCAAATTTCTGAAGGAAAAAAGTTGTGATCCTTCCTGGCGAGTGTGATCAAACACCCCCTTCATCGATAGCTCTTGGACGAGAGTGGGTCAAGGAGTTCTGGGTTTTCGCGTTGTGAATAATGGTCGTGTCGTTTGCATGGGAGCTGGAATGTGGGATTTGTTATTGCTTAGTTTGTCCGGAGGGCAGAGTTTGTTGAAATCTGATTGGAGAACTGGGTCTGATTGTTGTACATCATTGTGCCTTTATTTCGGAGACAGCATTCTCCTACAGTGGACCTTGTTGTGGTGTGGAGAGCGAGTTTTTAGATCCGCGTGAAGCGTTCGACCGTGTCGCAGGTGAGTGGTTCGCCCAGTGTACAGAACCTCACCACTGGGTGTCTCTCTATTTCTCTCACTCACTCTTCTGTATTTCTGCAGGACACAATTGCTCAACCCAATCTCGCCTCTCGTCGATTGTGGATTAATTTCCTCTCCTGAAGCAGTTGTCATCTGCTATGTGCTGGAAGGTTCAGTAGCCTTGAACTCTTGCATTGAAATCTCTCTCGAGCGTCAGACACGTTCAACATCCGAAGCATGAAGAAGTTTACGTAGCATTAAATCCTCTGCGAAACTCCGGAAGGAGGTTTTTGAACAGCTCACAATCAATAAATTCTTGACGAGCTTGTTGTTTAATCCCCTTCATTGCCTACATCAGCGACAGAATTCAATACGACTATGTGTGTGAGATGTGTACAACACATACAAAACTGTGCGCACGCGGCGTTAATCCTACCCTTGCCACATCTGCTACAGTTGTGCATTTGTTGAACATAAATTTCTATCCTAGAGCAACCCTAAGGCTCTTGTATATTTTCACAGTAAGTTGACTTCATTTGCTTGTGTTTGCTTCTTCTTACCAGTTGATTACGTTGGTTTGTTAAAATTTCAACGTTTTTAATTGTTGCAAATGTGAGCTACACTGGTTTCTTTTCTTGGTTTATTTCTTTTGCGTTTTCTTGCTGTATGCTGTTAGTGATTAACATGTGCCTTTAATATGAAGCAGGTGAAGTTGTATAATTTCCATGCTAAACACGACATTGATTGTGAAGTGATGAGCAGTTTATTTTTTCTTTTTCTTTTTTTTGAGTACGTGAGTATTTGTGTTTTCTGAAATAATTTGACACAGGATATATTCCTTCAAATCTTCTATAGCATGCTTGCTTAGATATAAATCATTAAAATTCCAAATTGGGCATGGTGCACATGGCTGACAGAAAATAACATAGAATAAAAATAAAACAAGTAATGAGATAACTTAGGAACTGAACAATGTTAATGAAGTTTCATTTTCTTTATCTTGGTGATATTTGGAGTGTGTAAGAAGCATGTGTCCAACTCCAATAAAAGCATCTTCGGTCAGTTACCAAAATGATTTGTTGAACAATACGTTTTTGGAATGATTTTACACTCAACTAAAATCAACAGTAAATCCACGTTTCAAGAAATGGTAAAATTCGGTTTTCAACAATTGGCAAGTAGTGTAATGATCCAGTTAAATATGTTTAATGTAAACTCTTCCGAGAATAGAAACGACAAGGCCAAGCACTAATCCTGCATTCATAAATGGGATTTGTATCAAGGCGTCCAAATCCTTCATGTTTTACCCTACAGGTAGATTCACAAAAAACGATATCAAAGTGTCAATATCATGACAACATATTTTGCTCTCAAGAAAGTATGAAATGGTGTTGAGGGAAGTTTACGTCAGCTCTGAGGAAGTTACAAAACGTTTACCGCACTCACATAAAGCCCATCAATAAAATGCGGGGAACAAAAGCAACTAGTGTGACGCCACCGATTCAGTGATCTTCCCCCACGAAGGTCCATCTTCCCACTCTGCACCACACAGTATAAATAGTTTGTGTATTCAGCGACCGAGCAGTATAAGGGACTTGGATCGTAAGCAAAAACAGAAACGAGAAAAATAAAGATAAAATCACCTTTCTCCATTGGAGGCAACAACTGAACACTACAAATACCTACACAGATTGCAAGCTGGAGCTACAGATGAACAATGACTTAGATCTGTTTCAACACTTACTTCTGGCAGCCTCATCTATGTAAGGACCATTCATGATGTTCAGAATAGTGCAGGCGTCAGTATACTCCAAGTTCGGGAGAAGCTTCGGGGTCAAGAGAAAGCATCTGAAACAACAAGTTCAACTTATTATCTACATGTATAATATTGGAGAACACTGATATCTCAGTGGTAATAGAACCTCTAACTTGCACGGACAAACCAGCTCAGGTTTCGGGTTTGACAAGCTGATTGGCTCTCAACTTGTCACAGATGTGTTTATCATGAATAACCCAGGAATGTATTGGTTGAGAACAGTATAAGCTTAGGTTGGCCGTTTCACATGCAAACAGAGAGCTCAACTTACTGCGGAGTGTTCATCTGACTGGCAGCCCTCACAAGCTGTTGAAACATCTTTCGTTCGTTTTGTGGGTCCATACCTACAGGTGTATACAAACCCAAATCAATTCGAACAGTTCCGATGAGCACTTCTCAAACTTCTCAAAATTCGAACAGTTCCGATGAGAACTTCTCAAACTTCACTTGATTGTTTCAAATGAAGCATCCAGCGATTAAGATATACAACTTCTACATACTTTGCGTGCACAACAAATTTTTCATATCACTTGTACCAATAATTGCATTAACATATTCTTCGAATAAACCCAAGTGAGCAGAGTCTGCTGAGAGAAAATTACCCTGATTGATCTCATCCACCACACGAAAGGGGCAGTGTGTCAGATCTTGAAGGGAGACGAGGTACAGTATTGTCGATACTGAGCGTTCCTGATAAAACAAACCGACTTCTCAGCATAACACTCGGATATGCACAATCAGTTACACACAATTTGAGCATTCAAAATACAATCGGTGTTTTACATCATACTTGAAAGTGTGGGTAAGTTTCAAGAAAGTTAAGATCTGCTTAGTAACCGAGAAGTAAGTAGGCGAAACTCGTGCAACTAAATCTGATTACAAAGTAAAAGTACTTACCCCTCCGGATTGGTGGTGAGCACTTAGCACCTGCAGCTCTCCCGTCTCCCTGATCGCGTGAGAAGAGAAATTACCATAATGGGTCAACGTTACATTCGAAAAATTTGAACCATCATGCATGATGAAAGCACTCTACGAAGAGATTGATAAAGCGTATTACCTGAATTTTACTTTGATTAGAATGCCATACTTGTCGAAGTCAGTGCCATGCTCATCTGCAGTAGAGACGAGTGCTTCAGCACGGATAATACTGCCAGATTGAAATGCCGACAATTTCTATCCATTTAACAAACCTCATATCAAAGCTACTAATACTAGACAACAAATTTAAACCGCTGCTGCATACCACAAGCTGTTGTGTCGTAAGCACAGTGGAAACTTACCCAGTGAGACCTCCCCTGCAACGGCCATTTCCCTGAAGTTATGGCCAAAAGTATCATTGATCTTGGTTACGAGGGTGCGAAGTGTTGGGAGCCACTTGGCCTGTCACGTGCAGCCAGAAAATCGGGTTGTTTTCACTTCATACAGTTCCGGAGGACTTTTACAATGAAATGTGCTAACCTAGACCCTTACAGACCAATGACAATGTGAGTAAAGAAATTTACCTTGACGGAGTCAATTTCTGATAAGCAATCTTGAAGTTGTGCCCTTTCAGTGCCTAAATCATCTTCCAAATTTTCAATCTGTTGATTGCATGACATCATTCAGAAACTTCTTGAGAGGATACAAGGAGCTATCAAAAGATCTTTATCTCTAAAATTTATTAAAAACCCAATAAGTGACATGTAAGAAGATTGTGAACCTGCTTGCACCGCCTCTCATATTCCTCGAGAACACCCGGATTGTTACAGAGCACAGCATTTGCCTCAGCTAATGTGTCACTGATTAAGTATTCAAGGTCTTCTACTGTGTCAGGCATCTGCATAAGACCATAGGTTTCCCGACATGACTTTAGACCTCAACCTAGCAACGTAACACCAACTCTTTTTTTTTTTTTTTTTTTTTTCTTGTAAACAAGTAATAGTTTCAGACAAACTTAAACAACATGATGAAGAGCGTCACCTTCTGAGTACCACTCAGTAGGTAAGAAATCTGTTAATACTACCAACAAACCTAATAAGCTTCCAAGATAGACTCGAGTAACTCGTAATTCGACTGTAGAGTAAGAAGTACACGAGATCTCCTATGACTTAGGTTGCATACCTCTCTAAACATGTTTTGAAGCTCATTCGTGATTGCAGCGACTTGCTCTGCAGCTCTTTTGGCGTTTTCCAATTGTTGTCGACACCTTCCTGTTTCCATTTTACCTGCAAAACATCTTCACAAGTAAATTGCAAAAACATGAAGCCAGGAGACGTGTCTGGTTTGCGATGATTCCAGAATTATATGTGTAATAGATTTTGAACTATGCGAAAAAATCGTGATTCTCATCTCGATAGAGAACCTGAAAAACCAAGGGACTACACTTTTTACATTCAAAACTGGTTTGTTGATAAATATTGGTGCATGTTGAGATCCATAATAAAATTGATTCATTTTCTTACTGTCGTCATATTCCCTCTGATACTGTAAAGCAAGCTGTTCGTGACTCTTGAGTTCCCTTTCCTGTTCCCTAACCTGTGCCCATCGTCAAAACAAGACTGGTAAGTGAAAGCTCATCACGTCATTCCGCGGAAGGATTAGACATTCATTTTGCAGTCATCAGCTTGTGGACCGCACACTGAAGTCTCGTACTCCTCCACACCAACATAGAATTATGCAGTGGTTCAGAACACTCGATAACACCACAACAAGTGAACAAACCTCTCTACAATCCATTGGAGACATCACTGCATGACCTAAGACATTCCAGATCTTTCAAAGAAGACCAGTTATTTTCTGAAAGAAAAATGAAGGTAACCAAAGCACAATCTAAAATCCATCTTTTTCTCCAATCGATTTTCCAAGAGTAACACAAAGAAGTTCGTTCGAGTTTCTGATGAGAAAGTTAAGAAAAACACCTTCAGGTCTATTTCGGCTGAAGCGAGCTGTTCAAATATAAGTTGAATTTGATTTTTTGCATACTCCTTTACAACGTCCTGCGCAACCGAATCCAGCAATTCTCAGCAATAAAGATGTAATTATGAGGCCTGTACGCTCTCTTAGTTAAGTCAAACATTAAAGCACCAAATCGCCATGGCGATCATCCCCCATGACATGCTTATGTACATTATAATCAGTTACTTATTTACATATTTTTATAGAAAATGAAAGCACAAAACATTAAAAATCCGACAGTGTTTGAAAAAAACTTAATATAGGAGGTAAAGTGAAAGTACCTTTAACTTCAACACATTCTTCTTTCGCTCCTGGTTTAATTTAGTGATTTCCGCACGTAGTTTCTCTTCAGCACTTTTGCAGTCCTCCGCGTGAATGGACTCCAATTTCCTTCTCCGCTGGTCTAAATAAAAGCTCAAAATAGAATGAGATTTAGTAAAGATTAAAGTTCTCGAAACATGCTACCTTCCATGAAGATGATACAGAAAATGACCAGATTTCTGGTGACACATAAACCTGACGTTTGAAAAGAACTGGTAGAAATGCAGTGGTGCTCAAAAGGTACATGCACTAGTGCCGTTATGAACATCTAAACCATCGCGAATCCCCAATCTGAAATTTAATGACTTTTATGTTACGATTTGCTGTTGACAACGGATAAAAGAAAGTAGCTAACCTATTCGAGAAGTCATGTCAGCACGCTTCTTTTTCTCCAGCTTCATTTTGTTGAAGATCTCCTCCTGTTTGCACAATTGATCACACTCTTTAATTAGCAATATGTATCATTTCATGTGATCATCGGTAGTCATTCACTTGAGGAATCTGAGGGGAATACATCATGATTCTCCCCCTAATTCGCAATGTCATCCACCAAAAATTACATGAAGGAATGAACATCCAGGTACTAGAAAAACATGAACAGGTAAATCGTGAAAAGGTTTGAACCATTGACAATTACCAATTCCCACCTCCAAACATTGTCCAACTGAAAAAGCTCCGAAAATTTCTCATCCAAAGTAATTATAAACGACTTGCAACCATGTGACAAGTATTAATGCCGTTGGACAAAGATAATATTCATTACGTTCTAAAACATCTGAATACACAAATTGTGTGAAACTTTCTTACCCGCTGCTTGTGAAGAGCTGCAGCTTCATCTTCAAGAGTACGAATGTCGCTATCGATCTTTCGACCCTCCTGCCCAAGTTGTTCAAGTTCTTTTTCAACAACTTCTAGCTGGCTCTCGAGATCATTCTTTTTCCTCGTGTCAATATCTATGGATCACAAAATCGAAATGGTTCCGAGAAGTCAGCATAACCCACCAAGGCATAACACTTGAGCAGGAAATGCTTTCGCTTGAAAAATCCAATGGAACGTCTCCAAAGCATGGATGAATAGCACTAGGTCACAATACAACGAGCATAGGCGCGTCTACCTCACACATACTAAAGTGGTGTTTATCAATGAGGAAGAAGCAACAGCTAGTTCTTACAGTAGAAACTTTATGCATCATCTTATTACACATGCTAAAAGAAACAAGCACCAATGAGCTCTGGGCAAAAGAGTAACAGGCACGGGAGTGTACTTTGTGAAAACAACCGACTTGCCCGAACTGCAGTGACACTTGCAGAAACTTGAGACCCATACAAAGATCTATTCCATCGATAGTGATTCTCAGGAGTCCACAAATCGTTCACTCCCAAGGCATTTGCTTCGTCTGCTCTGGCATTCGCTTGTGACGTTCCAATGAACTGGATTGAACAACAAAATAGAAAATATAAAGATTAACAGCATATTTTAGTCCATCATCTTTTAAATGTTAACATAGTGAAAAATATTCAATAAGTCGTGAAGACACTTTCTCCAGTAGATCAGAACTTGAAAATTGGCCAAATGAGAACATGCGGTTTACTCACAGAATAGTCAAGAGCAGCCTGTCCATTGAGAACATGCTTGATAACTGGGGGAGCAGATACAACCTCATCAAGCCGTGCGGTAATACCCATTTCTTGCATCTGATGCCTCAAGGGGCAGTACAAATGTCAGAAACATTGAAAGTGTCAACAAAATGTGTATGAATGTGTATGCCACATAAGGTGTATATAACAACAGAGAGGAAAACGCCTATTATCATACATTGCAACAAATTAAAACTGCACACAGCAATCAAAAAATCCATTCAACGGAAAGATGATCAGCAAATTCTAAATTATTGCTGAAGTACACAGGGTTACGCTTCCAAGTATACTAGTACTAGAGGCTAACATTCATCATCAGCTACAATATCAAGTGCGACAACAATGTACGCAGAACGTAATTCACTTCACATACGTAAAGCAGATCATGTCTACTCAATGCGCTTCATTCGGTCCGAGTGCCAAGTTGCATTTTAGAAATGATGTCTCACGACAACGTGGCTTACACTGTAATTACAGTTCACCTAATACTAAGATCTAAAGAAACTACACACGAAACCATAACATGAATATCCCTTCACCCATACTCTACTTTTCATAATACAGTTATGCATCACGACAGCCATCTCGACTTGTTAAATAGTAACCTCACCTGGGGTGTAACAGCAGGTGCATTACGTTGACTGAGATCTTTTGCATTGATAATAGGAACCTCCATACCCTCGAGATTCTTTTGAAGGTAATCTCTATCACGATCATCTTGAGATATAAATGCCTGCAAACGTTGTCGTCAGCTTCGAAACAAATGCCAATAAAAACGAAAGATCAGAACATAGAACTTCTTCAAACACGCGTTAAAACCACACGAAGAACGTTACCTTCCAAATGTATCTAGGAACATGATTTTCCACGTACTTTGCATGCTCCATGTTTGCTATATTTATCTGGATGTATTCATATCAACCAGTCCAACATTATGTTTGGTCCATACAGCAACCAAGATCATCAAAACAAGAGTTCATGTATCTAATATAAAATACGAACTGAACCAGGACTTTCAGGTCCAGAATTCTGTTGTATGCAGAAAAGACCAAAAACTTTGAGCGAGATACTTTCGAAATTACTAATATATACTACATTGAGGTATGAAATCCAAGAGACAACATTCTGACGAGCCCACTTAGTAACATTAAATTAAGGTAGATATATGTATTCAAAGAATCGATATACCTCAAGTAGAACAGGGCCATAAACGTCATTTTGGAATTCGTTGCGATGACTCTGGACCCAATTGTGAGCATCAACCACCCCTCGAGCACCAGAATCTTTTAAAGCTTGGAGAAGACGGTTCTTTACATTGTCTATTTCTGCTATTCTGTCGTTCAAAAGCATTTCTCATGCCACAACTTACTCCCATTAGAACTTCAGACATCACGCAACACTCACAAAGGTCAAAGAGACCTCAAGAAACACCTCGAATTTAACAGTGACTGGTAACACAAAAAGTAAAACTCTCTTAAGTTCCAAGCTTTTGAATCAATCAACATGTAGGTGAAAACCACCTGCGAGTAATTTGATCACGTTGTTGTTGTTTCTGAGAGTAAAGTTGTTGTTTTTCCCCTCTCTGATTCTTCCTCTCTATCATCCCAAGTTCAAACTCCCGGATTCGGTTCCCGATTTCTTGCTGCAACATCAAGAAAAAATTGCAGAAGTGAAGAAATCAGTGGTTCATCCGCTCAACATAAATGGCCACTCATAATTGCTTACTTGCACCATAATGTCTTCCTGATTAAACAAACAGTACAATCACAGTATGTATACACCAAGAACAATATATCATGATTCCCAAGGTCCTGTTGGCAATGAACTTTGCTTAGACTATCAGGTGATAACCCAACATGACTACCGCCAAACTCATCGTCGTGCGAATGGGATCTGATCATGTACTAAATAACTTTTACAAATCCAGAAAATCCCGGAGGCAACGCATCAACTCATTGGAAAAAGTGATGATTCAATGGACTTAAAAACCGTGCGAGACGGACAAAGATATCATAACTTTACGAATACACAACAACAATCTATTTCAAAATTCTGCGAAATGCTTACGAGTTCTTGTTTTGGAGGTTCATAATCAGGCAGATCAGCTAGCTCTGCTTCAGCAGTTGCAAGGTCTCTGGTAGCTGCAACAATTTTTTCTTTCCGAATGCTCTCTCTTTTGTTAACTTCCACAATTTCCCTATTCTTCGCTCGAACTTGTTCTCCCTGCAGATTGTAGCAGGCCGAAGCCATGTCTAAATTTTAGCATTTCGGTAGATAATAGCAACAGGATGTTAACTGAACCAACTTCTTAAAAACAAGATCATTCTGATAGGTGTACCATTTTACTCTCATTCTCTATCATCTGCCGTCTATGAGACTCCAATCGATCATGTTGTTGTTGTAACTTCCTTATGGTTGATTCAATATCAGACCTCTTCTTCCTCCATTCCCTGTAAAATACAAACAGGACATCTCAAATTGTCACCACTGAAGGAGTAAAAGCCTGTTGATACTGAACAGAAAATTTAAATCGATCTGACGTGGAAAAGTGAATAGTATTTGCAGTCCTTAGTAATGGTTGTGTCAAGAACAGATAGCAGATGCACAGATCTTGATAACAGCTTTCCAGCCACCGTAAACATTCTGTTATGTGCAAGATCCTTTTCAAAATTTGAAATTGAAAGGGCATACTCCAAAGTAAGATCGAATCAAGAAACAAAGAGGAAAAGTCTTACTCCGCTGGTTTCTTTAGACGATTTGTTGTCTCAGCTGCTTCATTAAGCAGACGCTTGGCGTTTCGCTCCTTGTCTTTTGCCTCCAATAAAAGCGCTTTCTTCTGCTCGTACTTCAACCAAGGTAGCTTTTTCTTGAGGTTCTCAGCCTGAACAGCGAGAAAGATTACTTAATGTAAATACGGAACAAAGGTGTAATATGAGAAATTAATGCGACTGAATAATAGTGTAACCCGTGTTGGGACTTCCATCCATATCTGTAGAAGGAACGAATGTCCCTTGCCCACAGAACTAAGCAGGAACTTCACATAAAGACCATTAGATCAGTGTTATGAAACTAACTTTTTCCAATAAGCTTTTGCGCTCTTGAAGGCGTCGCACGTCCTTCTCCAAGTCTGCGTTATTTGCTTTCAGATTGGCCAAAACTGATTCGCGCTGTTTCAAACTCTGAGAAAAGATTCGACCAGATTATCACGCATGCAACTCTTTATATACAGCAAAAGCTGTAACAATTTACCATGAGCGTATGTGACATCTAGAGCCAAGGACAAAAAGTACCTATCCAAAGTCTAGGATTCCTTTCGAAAGCAGTCTTAAGGACTGACAAGGTTTACAATACCGCTAACCACAAGCAAAACAAAACTTCTCTAAGTGAAGATCTGACGCTCAGCAGAAGATGCCTACTTTAAAGGATACTCACTGTCTCAATTTTTTTCAAGTCAGCATTTTTCTTAATAAGAGTCAGATGTTGTGTCGACAATTCCGGATCTCCAACTGCTTTCTCAGTTTCCTCCAAAAGTTGAATGGGGGTCATCTTAGCAAATTCACACACCCTGTCCTGAGGAAGAAACTGGAAGACAATCAACACAAAATAGAAACATGAAATCAGAAAATCTTAAATACCGAAATCAATGATAAAAATAAATACTTAAGACCCCAGAACGCTAGTATTTTAAAGTGAACCATGAAAAATAATTGACTTCCTTACTCCCCTGAGTACAGTCACTACATCCGTCTTAGATCAGCACCGAGCTCACATCAACATAAAAGAAGGTAAGGTAATTTACAGAATTAACATACATTGATAGAGAAACATTGAGATGCTGCAGATCAATAAAGTGGTTCAAAACCTGAGTAAGATTGTTGACTTGAATGTTGAATCTAGCAACAACCTCCTGAATTTCTTTCTTTGTGACCGAGTGGATGCTCTTATTCTCTGCAGTAGCAAAAGTGCAATCCCATAACAAACTTAAATTCTCAGAAAATTGACTTCAAATGATTTCACGAATGTTGAACAGACACTAAAGCATTAACACAAACTTGAGAGACGAGACGATACCTTCAAGAAGCCATTCAGACTTGTTTTGTTTGTTGATTTTGCGAGTGATGGAGATCTTTTTATCAGGATTCTGATCCTGCAAGGTAATTTTAATCGACCCTGACACCTCTCCTCGCTTCACATAATCCCCAATACTTGTAGCACGGCCAAGCAGCTGCACAGGGAGGAAACATCATCAATCGTCCGCTTCATTCTTAACACGACCGAACTGACCTGTCAAGTATCTCTGAGTTTTCTTTTACTGCAAACAGTCCAGTATCCAGAAGGTTCTATACGAGGAACGAGTATTGCACATTAGCTTTTATGAAGCAAAAAATATCAATGTAGCTTTGAAACTGGAATGGAAGTATGAATGATTTTAATCCATACAGCAGCATAAGAGGGATAGGAAGGAGACAAGACCATACCGAAGGTTCTCCAGCGAGACCGATACCAATTGCACAGACCAGAGAACTTTTGCCTGTGCCATTGGGACCTATGACAAGATTCAAACGCGCCCCTGGTTTTGATTTCAAATACGTATATGTCATGAAATTGTGAACCTCAATTTCTGTGATGTTCCCAGGAAGGAACTCATCTCCAGCTCTGTTCCAAGTACACAATGCATGAATCGACTGATACAGTAAGCAGCCAAAATACTGGATGCATCAAGGACAAAGCCCAGGAACCAGCAAGGGACAGGAAATTACAAGCTATGAAGAGCAAAATCTTTTAACACGAGATGGGGTTCACTAGAACAAGGAACGTCAGCTAAGAAGTCAGAACGTAACTCAGAAAGGAAAAAAGATGATTATGTGCTATGGTTGATTTAAAGTTATATCCTGATATAATCAGAAATTGTCACACGAAGATTTAAACAATCAGTTTCCACGTTGACGGACTAAAATTTCTGCTTAAGTGCTGCAAATGTACTGATAAGAAGTTCTAAACCTTCGAATTATCCAGAACAGAAACCAATCAGAAAAAAATGAACCAATTGGATTCCACAATAATTACAAATTCTTCGGACATTGCATTTCTCCACCTCTCACTGCGTCGACATGCTCTCAAAGAACTCCCGGTAACCGCAGGAATCTATAATTCAACTCACTCGCACCTCTCTACCATATAAATATAAATGTGAATAGATGGATCAACCAGACGAAATTGTGGCTCCTATCAACAGATGCATCTCCGTTTAACTCCCATATCACTTCCCCTTGCTTCAAGCTATTTCTGGAAAGTTCGGAGCATGTTAAGATTGCCTGTGGCTCGAGTAATGTGTCCCGCCACTCAGTCATTACCCTCGAAAATCATAACTGTCCGAAATTTCTGTCCCACCAGTAGCAAACCCTCTCTCGAGTAATGTGGTTCTCTTCCCCGGCACAAATCGATTTATCATATATGCCACAAAAGCATGTAGAATCTAATTACAGCTGAAACGCTAATCCAACGAACTGACACAAATGCCACCAAATACTACAATCTCCACATGCACAACTCGACAACAAACTGAACTGAACCTGATAGCGCTCGTCCTCGCCCGCTTCGAACTTCGTGAATCCAACGGAATTGGCCGCTTGCGATCCGACGACATCGTACCCGCTCGACCCGACACAAAAGGGCGTAGAATTTGTAGCCGCAGCTCCAAATGGCTCTCAATTCATCGCACGAACATCCACTTCGACGTATTCAACTCATAGCGACACAAAATTCTGCAAAAAATTGCCTCACCCTGTCCTCTTCCAATTACAGCCATCTACGGCAGGATGCAATGACTCCCTCTACACACTTCAAAAACAACCTAAGTTTCTCAAAAAGAAATGTCACCAAATAAACAATAAAAAACAGACCAAAATGACAGACCAAAAAAATAAAAAATTACATAAAAAATAAAACCTAGGCTCTCTCTAAGAAACTTGGAAGAGACAACAGGCCTCGTGCAGAAGCACAAGTATGATCATTCAATAACGCCATGGCGACAATTGAGAAACCTCCTAGTCACGCAACAGCAATTCATCACGAGAGCATTGAAAGCTTGCGCTGGAAATTTTCGTCGCATTGTTTATCGTTCGCCTTCTTAAAAGCTTAAACGAACTTCTACAAATGGACGACGTTCCGATTTCACCGTCGAGTCCTTCAGAGCTTCGTCGGATCTTACAGTTTGTCGTTCCAATCGAGGCTCGCCGCCCACTGAAGTCCAAGGGCGAATTGCCTTTGAGGTATGAACCTGAAGGTGCGCGGGGGTATCGATACAGGGTAGCTTAGCACGGAAAGGTTATCAAGGGGTATCAATAGTACCTACGTATAAAATCTCTCGTGTGAGTTGTGATTAACATTTCCCTAGTTGAGGATACATTCGGACTGAATGTCTTGTTTAACTTTGCAATATAGCTACTTAAATGATTTTTTTGTGTATGAACTTTGACAGGTATGAAAAAAGTAGAACAGGTATATTAAATTTTTATTTTTTAAAACTCATTGCTAATAAAAATTAAAAATAAAGGATATGTAAAAGTAACACTAGTAACAATCTAAAGACAAATTATCAGCTATGAAGCAACCAATGCAAATTTGAGTATCTACATAATAAAACAACTTAGGTATAAGACAAAGATAAAAAAGCCGTATCATTGGTTGAAACAAAGAAGTCTTCTTATTGGCCAAATTTTAAGATCTTACAGGGCAAATAAATATGTGTCGAGTATTAGAAGAAGGAGGTGTGTGTTGATAGAGCACAATACCTATTCCACCACCACTAGGCAACAACATCCGCCCTTGATTTCTTTGCATAGGGAGGTTGTTCCAAAGCTAACAATAATGAAATCATGGGTGAGTATTAGAGAAAACAAAAGTTGTAGTGGGCAGCATATAAGGTGACTATCAATGGATTGCCACATGAAATCCAATTGCAGATCACTGTTTCCAACATTTATTAATGAGCAAAGAATATTGGAGTAAGTGCTTGAATCTAATATGATATTGAATTGTTAATAATTAGAATATTAGATAAGTGATTGAATCTACTAGAAACAAAGAGAAAGTGGTGAATATGTAATTTTATTACATATAAGTTGGTAAGATGATTTAATTTGTGATTGTGGTTATATATTTTATTTTATTTTATTTTAATATTATTTTTAGATAATTTTTTAGAATTTGAAAATTTAAAGTTTATTATGTATATTTAGGATGCATTTTAATTAATTAGAATGAAGGCTTGGAAGTTGTAAGAATTTCTTACAATTATCATAAAGATTATTATAAAAGCATTTTGTGGATTTTTTTTAAAATGAAGGCTTAGGATTATATTAGAGTTTTTCATAGTTTATGATATGTTTTGGATTAGTTAGAATTTCGAAAATGCTTAAGATTTTTTGGATTAGCATTTGTTATCTTAGGATTTGCTTATGCTCTTCTCACCATTTGACAATTTTTAGGATTTGATAGTATTGTTAAAGATGTTTTAGATTATAGTTAGCATTGTTCAAAACAAATCAAATATGAGATAGTGAATTTATACTAATAAGATGCAATATGAATATGTGCAAGTAATTCATTATTATATTCTTTTAGAAATCAATCAAGAAATATGTATTTATAATTTAAAAATTTATACTATATGTTTAGAAGTAAACATTTATAATCAAGATAAAGTAAAATAATAATTATTTGCAAGATTTTGTTGCAAGACTAAACATGCAAGATATTGATGAAGATATGTGGAGGTACTGTCAAATGTATATTGAACTATTGAAGCTTTTATTAAGAAAAGAAAAGATATTGAACAAAAACCAATGTGCTAATCTATGCAACAAATTCAAATATGTTATGAAGGTATTTGACTATTTAATATCTTATAGAAACAAAAGAATAGAGTAATAACCTTCTATTAAGTGAATTATTTCTAATATTGAAGGAAGTTATTTTACTTTTGAAAAATTATACAAAACCAATTTACAACAAAGTTATTATCTTTTAAGTAAAGACCAAAAAGACTTTTTAGAGAACTACTTTGATATTTGAAGTATTGTTATGATGTAAAAAGTGATACGTTTTTAAAGAATTTAAAAAATAAAAATAAAAAATGAAGATAATATGTTGATTATTTTTTATATAACAATCCATAATATAGTAGAAGGTGATAATAAATATCCACATGAAAAGTTGATCCTTGCAAATGAATAAAATCATTTTCAAAATTATAGATTAGTAAAGAATCTATTACAAAGATTGAAAGACTTGTATTCCACGGAAGATGGAGAATTAGAAGATTTGAAATTATGATCAAATACAAAAAGTCTTGAAATTATTAAACTCTTGAACAAACAGCCTTATAGAAAGGTCTACGAGACAAAGTGGTTGGGACTTGTATGTGCAACTAAACAAATAAACATTGAATTTGAAAAACTTTTTATCAAAGAAGTAAGAATTCTAGCAAGTCTAAGCCATAGAAACTTGGTAAAATATTATTTTATAATGAAAGGTATTGCAAATAAAAGAAGACAATCTCATATAACTATGAAGAAAAAAATACTTATATATGGCAATGGAATTGATGCAAATAAACTTAACCGAGAAGCTTAAAGAAAATAGGCAAGAATCTTATTTTTTTCTTATTGATATTATGTCTCAAATTGCAAAAGAAATGTATCACTTGCATGATCTGCACATTGTGATCTGAAACTTGACAACATCTTGTTTGATATAATAGAAGAAAATATTTGGATAAGATAGTTTGACATAAAATTATTAAATTGATTGATTTTAGAATGTCTAAGATTGAAGTTGGAAGCAAACCAAAAGCTACAAAGAATAAGCATGTTTATGGTATTGTAAGATTCATGGCTTCTAAGATAATTAAGAAATAATTTCAACCAATAACAATGTGCTTTAAAAGCAAGTGTTCATTCATTTTCAATAGTATGTTGTAAGCTTCTTTCTTAAAAAGATTCATTTCATGATGTTAACACAACAAAAGAGATATTAGGAAGAATAGGAAAAAGTGATAAACCATACTTATCTTCAAATTATGATGAATTGACTGAACTCATTTAAGAGTGTTGGAGCTTGAATCCTTTGCGATGGCCAAACTTTACAAGTATTTGTGAAAGATTGATTAAGTTGAAGAAAAGTTTTTAGCTAGAATTATTATAGAAAAGACATTATATTTTTGTACAACAATAAACAAAAGTCATTAAACTATAGAATTATAGTACACACATAATAAATTATCATGGTGCTCAAGCTTGATATTGTTGCCAAAGGAACTTAACAACCTCACATCTTTAACTACCTTAGACATGTCAAGGTGCTTAAGAATGAATTCACTGCCAAATAAATTTGGCAACCTCACAACCTTGACTACATTGAAAATGTCATGGTGCTCAAGTTTGATATTTTTGTCAAATGAATTGGAGAATTTCACATCTTTGACTACCTTAAATATGTCAAAGTACTCAAACTTGACATCATTGCCTAAGAAATTAGGCAACCTCACATTTTTGAATACCTTGGACATATCAAGGTGCTTAAGCTTGACATCATTGCCAAATGAATGGAGCCACCTCACATCTTACACAATTACACAATTTATGGGATATACACAATTTATGGGATAGAGAGGACAAAAATTAAAGGAAAGATGAACAAAGAGATATACAAATCAATACCAAAGGTGGAAGCCCGCATGATACTTGCAAAATCTTTGACCTCTGTCAAATCCCAGAGGAACATGAAGTAGAACAATCAATTCAGCAGGTAGCTCTTATGCAAACCAAGTTAAGACCATGCTAGACCAGCAAAATGGGGAGAGGTTCCTCTTAAAACAGTATTAAAGTTTCCTGTATTCATCATATGTTGGTTTCCTAAATACTGAAAATACATGAACCTGGGAGCTAATCCATGATCCAGTGACTGAGGGTATCATCCTCTCAAAGCTCAGATCTACATGGAAAAGCAAAGACCAATTAAATTCAGCAGTAACCCAATGCATGCCCAAGAAGACATGAAAAAAACACTGCCTCATTCTACAGAATAGTAGTAAATTTCTATCTTCTTCCTATATTTGAGAACCATTCCTGTATATGCGATCCTGCACCATGCCGAGTGTATTCAAAATTAGTTATGCTGTAAGAAGTCTACTCATGAACATTCCCAATCAAACCTTATTGACCTGTGAATTATGCAGGAATACAAACAAAATGAGAAGAATTTATAATCCAAGCAGTCGATGACAGTCAATATATCCATATCAAATGAATGCAGAAAGTTTTCCAAACAGCGCAAGCTTACCCTCTTTCTTAGCAGCCCCTTCCTTTGCTTGCTCAACAACAGCAAACAGGCGTTTCAAACCTGTGCTGGATGCTGCAGCAGCAGCCGCTGCAGACTGGGATATTGCACCTCTTCCGAGAGCCCCTACGCGGGACATCATAGCTTCTTTACTTTGAAGTCCGGAGTTAGCAAACGTGGGAGTGGGAGGTGCCGCATTTCCATGATTAGACCCTCCTATTTGCAAAATTGGTAAACCTTCTATGTTACGGTTCGTAAACCGGTCAATCAATGGCTGTGAATCTGTACGCTTCACCCCCTGTAATGAGAAAATCAATACAATATATTAAGCAGACATATATTTTATAGCACATTGTGGGCTTGAATTTTCCCGAAAAATTCATTAGTGCCGGAGCTATGTTCACGTAACACAAGCTAGATGCATTAGGCACTCAACGCAGAAATTGCAATTTCCACAAAATAACAAACAATGACAAGTAAATATTTCTGAAATACAGCAAAAGCTTGAGAAGCAAGAGACAGTTAACTGACCTTGAGATCAAGAATTCGTTGAAAATCAGCCCCAGAACCTTCAGGTAGTAAAGCACGATAAGTGTCTGCAATAGCCTCCATTGGAGACAATATGACCTGCAATCCATAACGTAAGTTACAGAAGTGACTATAAAAAGAACATTAATAATATTACATGGTACAGTTGCCTAGCACCTTAGTGTTGACTCAAATATTCTCCATAAAATATACCATGTTATCAATTCCACCAAAAGGAAGTTTCACACATGCAGACTTCCACATCAACGCGACAACCCACTTCTGACCTTTAACAAGTGCTCTGCTTTGCCCATTTCACGCGCCACGTACTTAGTGTAGCTCGCTGGAGTATTAGCCTGGACAAGAACAAAATTTAATGAAATCACTTCTTTCTTGATAAGAGCCCACAGATTGTAACCTCCACAGCACACAATTGGCTCTGGACAAAAACATGAGGCCGCCTATTATTACTTTAATAATAGGCACATCAAAATTAGAACACACCTGACCGCCTAACGAAGGGACCTCCAGAAGCAACGTTTTGACAGCATGTGTATCCAATAACATCTGCGGATCACCAACCGAAACACATTCACATTCTTCAGCACAGAAATATATCATATACTTCACTGAGAAACCTGATTAATTTATCAATAAATTGTTCCCCCGGCAACAACACTAGACAAAAATGTAAAATCAAAGAGTTCTCACAAATAAGCCCGTGGGAGGGACATTAGTGCAGTTATGATAGTCATAGAGTTATCCACATCCACTGAACCACAACTATTTTGATCCCCTTCTATTCAATGTACGAATGAAATCCATCCCTCGATTAAAAAATGAGACCACAAAAAAAAAATTGTACTAAGTTTGGTCAAAGTGCAGATCAAAGAATGACGAGCATACAAAAACTCAGACCAATCCAGGCCATATGAGCGCTTTCGGATTCTAGATTTGCAGAAAGCGTGCCAGGTCTTCAGAAAGAAACTGATCAATTTCACTTTTGAAAACGAATGTTTAATTAGAGTAAATTAATTCACCTGCTGTGCTCCAGTTTCAGAGATGCGTTTGCATTTGAAGATGTTATTGTGGAATCGTGGGGCAAATGACGCTGCTAGCTGCACATAAATTACCATGTAAGTAGAGGATTGAAGAACCTGCGATATGATATCCATGTTCAGACTTCAACAGGAATATATAATGTTATTATGTAGAATTAACATACCTTATCTATGAAATACTGAAAGTAGAGAGATGATAGAAGACCCGCAATAACCGGAACACTACTGGAAAGGATGGCACTGATTCCATTAACATAACTGAAAAATGACACAGAGAATTAAATAAAAGTGTGAATCCTTGCAACAATACAGACAAATGAAGTCTGCCCATCATCCAGAAATCTATCCCAACCAAAACACCATCAGAAGTACAAAAATAATATTGAACTTCAAATAAACTCTTCAAAATAATATGAAAAAAACTCAAGTGTCAAAAGTTAGCTTCAAATGGCATACTCAGACTGATCTCCAACACTTTCAAGTGTAGCCCATGGAAGACGAGCCATATTGGCCAACTCATTCTCAAGCCGTGTCTCCAAACCTAGCACTAACGTTGACAAAGCTTTTGTAATTACTCCCGAAAATTCATCCTGTACAAAGAGCTCTTGTAAGTAAAAGAAAAATAGTCCACACACGCAAATCATGTAGATTTAGCAGGCTCCAATACGGCAAACATACCTGCTCTTCAGACATGTCTATACTTTCTGAAAAATGCGAATCAATAAGTTTAGCAATGTTTTCGCCCATATTTGCAGCCTGCCAGTAGATGAAGCCAGAAAAATTAATCAAGAATCAAGACGGGTGGCTCTACTCTTTACTCTTCGGTGTTCTGCAAATGGATGTATGATATTTGAGACTAGAATAAATGTACATCTCATACAGTCCTCACAATCGAACTCTACACTGCACAGCATCATAAATTATACTTTGCACACTTGCAATATTGGACAAGTGATCAGTGCACGGTTCCTTACATCCTGCAGAAGAGCAGATCTACAATTAAATCCCCATAGACACTAGAAGATTGCTAAATCGAACTAAGAATTACAATGACTGCAAAAGTAAGAAAAAAATGAGAGATTAAAACATACCGTCTCATGGCAGTACTCTGCCGTATTGACAATGTAGCAGATGACTCTCTCATCTTTGTCTGATACCTGGGTTTACAAATCAACAGAACGTCATCACCAATCTATAAATATTAAGCAATGTTTCTACAAGTCCATTGCAATGCCCTAGTACTTTACTAATTCCGAAAGCACTTGAGTAGCACCTTCACTTGTCCCTCTGTGCCAGATACAAGTCCAGGTTGACCTCTAGGCAGCCTTGCGACAAGCTTCCCAGCATAAGCTCGAAGCACTCGCTGAAACACCTGTTTCGAAAAGAGATAGGATTTGTTTAAGGTAAGCAAAATGGAATCTTAATATTCGATATGGTACAGAAGCGTAGTAACGTGATCGACCAGCATACACAAACCACAAATACACAATGGGTGAAACAAGACACGATTCGGGAAATACATGTGAAACAATTAATTACATTGAAATAGAATTCTACTTCAAAAGTAACAGACTAAAATGATCCAGGTACTCATAACACTCTTCTAAAGACTGTAAATATGCTGATGATAGGTACCAAGAGGAGTTAAGAAAAGTACCTTATACAAATTAAAAAGTGTTTGGTTGCGGGTAAGGGTACTGCAGCGTTTTAAGCTTCTCTTGATGATCAAAAACACCTGAACATAATGGTCTTTAAGTTACACACACGTGCACAAATGGTAACCACAACTGCCAAAAGCTATAATATTGTAAGCACAAAAATCAAGTTTCTGCTGGAAAATTTTGTACTGGAGTGGATATTTCCGCGATAACAGAGGCATCCATTACCTTATGCTAAAATTTACACCCAGACATATAAATGTACATTGGTGAACGTGTAAATTATGTCATAAAAGGGATGAAACAGTAAAAATCAAGTTCAATTAATTTTCGCTTCAAATACTGCAAACTTGTCTAGCTAATAAGTAGAAAAGAAAAACAAACAAACCTGCGTGCCACTGGATAAGATACTTGTCTGTGTTCCTTCTTCAGCATCCCATGTTTCTTCCTGTTGATGGAAGCGATGAATATGTAAAGATCATGTCTCTCCACAACAGATCAATCGATTGAATCACTGTTTACCATTCAAACAAAGGTGCAGCTTAAATGACGACATAAATAGGTACCTGAATCAGCTTGTCCAACGCCTCCGTCAATGTCTTCTCCTCAAGCTCCACGTATATTGACAAGTGCGGCTCAAAGCATGAGGATATTGTGCCTCGAAAGTTAAAGGCCGCTGCAGCCTATAATTATGCAACTTGAGACAATCAGAGTCCTTAAATGCATAGAGTGCTGAAGCAAAATCATAAAAATTGCATTTGGATACAAAGAAGGTGAACAATGTATCTGTGATTAGATCGCACAGCTTATTCACAGTAACACCGTTAGTACTAAAGCAAGACATTTTAAAAGCTCGAGCATTCAATTATAAAACACAGAAATATACCCGGCTACACTTTTAGCACGAATAACTGAGGCATTGACATTACCCTTTCATTAGCAGCGCCTTGATTGGTCTTCTTCTCTCCGTGCATTTCCTGTTCAAGAAGGACCTCATAAGAAGTGGCACTAAGTGATGCGCTTAAAAGCCAAATTAAGTAAGATGTAAACATACCCAAAAAAACAGGTATTCATCCCCCCTACTAGCTCATGCAGTTAGCACCATCACAGTAGGCAGATCAGATAACTTGCACAATGACAACCGTGTCTGTATGCTTGTAAAATTACCTGTTTCAGCTGCTTTTGATATTTCTTACGTATAGCAGAAGCAGTGAGCTCTCCATCTTTTGTGTCAAATCCTTCGTCATCACTTTCCTCTTCTTGTTTCTTGCCCTCACTTCCACCAAAACGTTCAGCGAGCTCTTCTTCAAATTCTAGAGTTCTTTGTAAAGCCTGGAGGTGCGTGGCATGTAAATGAACGAAGATCAGACATGAATTACTTCAAGAACAACGTTATGTGGTAATGTTAGAGTTACGATTACAATCAATAGATTGGTTGTGAACACTGTGTTTTAAGGATATTATTTCATCAAATTACATTTACAGTTCTTTTGAATGTTGTCTTACAATGAAGTAGATTGCTGTGAACCATCTTGAGTTCACATGATACGAAGATAAATCTGAGCAGACTTTCTCAGAAAAGTCGTCATAATTTTGCAAGTCTAAGCAGAGCGACTGTTTTGATGTAGAAATTTCAAACTCTTGGTTATATTGGTCACCTGTAAAAGAGTTCCAACTTCGGGCTTAGGTTGAGCTGTATCGAGAATTTCCATCAACTGTGCCCTGTAAAATCAAATTCCATACGCAAAATTGCTTGAAATCAGATACAACAGAATGTGAGACAATTCTACACCAAAATTAATCAGGCAAGACTAAAAACGCCCATGTAATCAAAGGGCGACCATTAAAAGCATATTGCGGATTGCACACCGGAAGTCATCAGATTCGTAGGAAATAAACCAAGAAAATCTTATTCATATGTCTGCTGAGAGAATTTGTTGAGCAGCCAGCCAATTTACCTCGTTACTTTACAGAACTGCATGCACAGAGTGTGTGCAACCCGCCAGCTTGGAGGGAAGATAGACCAAACTTCTTCATTCGACCTCAATTGACGTTTAATCCAAGCATACCTACGCTCAGCTTTCTCCAACTTGGCTACCTCTATAATGAGACATTGAATGGAAAGTTAATGAACTTGGAAAATAAATGGAAAACAAATATACTCGGCCCATTTGATTTAGCTTGACTAGTATTTATCCTTTAAGGTCGATTATGACTTCTTGCATTCAGGTTCAGTACATCATGACATTCAGAAGTAATCATGTAACTAGAAATCACATCACAGTGTTGATGAGTTTTACTTACAAAAATCTTCACTTCTGTTAACAAAGGAACAAAGTAAAGAACTGACAAAAGAGGGTGGACACATCCCGGTAAGCAAACATCCAAACATACCAGTTCCTTGAAAGATCTGCTGATATGCTGTAAGCTCTTTACTACAAACATTGCGAACGAGTTCTTCTTTCGCAGATAGATCCAAGGAGTCAATAACCAAACAAGCGTCTGCAAGCAGCTGCATCTGCTGACCATCTTCATTCAGACCAGCTGACCCCAAACTGAACCATCCAAATTATTCAGAAAAAATCAAAAAGAAGTCACAAAACTCTTATAGAAGACTGAAAAATGCATCCAGTGCACAATCAATCCATGTCACTTAATAATACAAAAACCATAACATTTGTGTTGACAGTTATAAACTGTAGGTTAAAATTTCCATAATTTGCAAGTTGGTTTCTCAAAATACACAGAGACCAATATTCAAGTTTGACCGTAACCTGGCAAAATCAGAGAAGACGTGGGACTTCAGCATTTCTTTGATGCCTTTGAACTTCTCCCTCAGCTCTGTGATTTTTGGGATGTCACTGTAAGCTTCAAAGTGACTACAAAGCTGATTAACTGCCTGCATAAATCGCATGTAAATTCAGTCCCTCTGCTTTGGAGCCATGAAAATATCTTTCAAAGCGTTACTAGGATGATTTTCCTTGACATTAATGGAAGGAAAGTACTTGATATTGTGATAGTTCTTTCTATCTTTGAAAGATATTTTGCCTTCCAAATCTCCTCAACCGCATGGTATGTCAGGAACATGATAAGATAATAGCAGAAAATTATTTGATATCAAACTAGTTCAAATAATAGAAAAATGATCTTCTGTCACTACCCAGAACAAAAACCCGATTATATACAGTGCAGGAGTTCAGTGCCAACCTCAAGTTGTCCAGCTGCTTCCTTGTACTGCCGTTTGACAGCCATAGCTTGCAATTGTTCCACAGCTGACACTGCATTCAAAATTCATCACAATATGATAGTCAGTGACTAGCCCATATCATTTCATTAACAAAATATTCGGTCTTCAATGTTTCGAAAAATCTTAGTGTTGGTAAACGTAAAATAGGCTTACTTTAAGAAGATTATGACTTCTTCATCATAAAGTACAACATGGAGGAACATCAACACATTAAGAATTTCAAAACTGTAAACCAAGTACTTCAGAAAATCCACTGCTACTGAGAGAATTTATTTAAAATAGTGAAGCAAGAGCCAAAAAACTCCATGCTTAAGGAACGACTGCAGCAAGCACCAACCACTAAGAACAGTCCCCTACTGTCGAGAAACAAGAACCGGATTCCTACAGCGTAATATAAACATCCACAAGAGAGCCATGAACAGACCCAGCATTGCAAGACGATGAAGAGCAGTAATAGTAGTTGTGATATTCTTTTTTGCGAAATCCAGCTTCTTTATGTCACGACAGATTTCCTGAACCATCACCTCACTTTGCTCTGCTTTTTCTTTCATTTCACTGATTTTCAGAGTCAACTCCTGCAGCAAATAATTAGAGTTTTGAAATCAGACTGCCGAAGAGAATTAGTCACCTAGTTCTTCATGCATCTCAAAGAAATCCATACATATGTAAACGATGATGATTGAGACACCACCTCACATTCATACTGTCAATTCGTATTGACATCTTGAAACTCTGAAGTTTTAGAGACTTCATGACTCATGTCAGAAGAGCCGGTCACGTTATCAGCAAAAACAAATCTCCAAGTTATGCGAGAGAACACTAGTGATGACGAATGTGATGATGATGATGATGATGATGATGGTTAAGTAATCACAAATACACAGAGAGAATGCTCTACCTGAATGGCACGCATTGCAGCTGCAAGGTCCTCCTTAGCTTTAGAACCTGAGGTGCTCTGCATATTACCAACTTGTCAATAAAATGAAAGAGGGAATTTCAACACTAAATCAAAATGATAATTTATTTTTTTTTTAAATAATTTCAATGCAGATTAGTCTTAGAATTGAATATAGAGGACAAGGATAGAAAGGGGAAACAATCAATAATTAGAAGAGAGCAGATGGATCTGAAATTGAATAAAGCATGAAGTGTGCAGGAAGATAATACCTGCTGCCTGATTGCAGAAATTATGTCAGAATCCACATGCCGAATCTTATTGCGCAGCTTTCCAAGAAGAGGATCTACCGCCACTAATGACGATTCTGCAGCACATCACAAAATGCACCTTGAACACCTTGAACAAAGGTACATTAAGTATGGGGGTACATCTCCAAGTCCCAGAGTACGGTTGAAAAAAGTTTATTTTCGTATATCAATAAATATATATATTTATACACACACACACAGAGAGAGAGAGAGAGAGAGAGAGAGAGAGAGAGAGAGAGATATGCAAGCACAATAGAACTGAATCTATGGACATTAGATTGGGCATTACGATGCCTACAAGAGGTGAATGAAATCGTAGAATTTTGAAAGAAATTGCAGATTTTCGATTAGGACTAAGCTGGGCCAAATTGCATAATGGGAACACTTACGATCGACTAGATTGATTTCAAAGAGTCTAGGTCAGCTGAGTATATTAGTGTGCAGCTACCAGAGAATTCATTCTTTAGTAGCAACGCGAACACATCCATCGCCCGGATCAGCTAAGCACACAAAATGATAAATACATCGAAGATTCCCAGAACTCTTGAAATTTGAATCCTTCAGGTTACGTAACAAAAACAGCGACCAGTGCTGGAATCCGACCTTAAGTTATCTTGCAACTGTAATACTACTAAAACCAAGCAAAATTGCTCGTGATCAAGCGTTATCAACACAGAACCTTCAAGTCTCTGAAAAAATTTAGAGACCCTAACCAACCTTTCAAACTATATTACAATCTTGTATGAATGAGGTGTCCTGGCTTCAATAGTATCACGTTCCATACTAAAACTATGTAGCAATGAGGTGAAGAGTGTCAACAAAACACCTATCTGAAAAGGCAGTGCCTCCTCTGACCTAGCACAAAGATTTAAAAAAAAAAAAAAAAAAAAAAAAAAATCCGCGAAATTGTCGACTTAGTTCTAAAGCAACAAATAACCCTTCCGACATGATTTTCGTTGTACAAACATATATCAGAAAGAGGAGGGGATAATTGAAAGGTTACCAAATATACAGTGCATTTGCCAGAAACTCCAGACAATGTGCGTATGTGCGTACCTGTCGGGAAATTTTCATTGATGAACTCTAGAGTGCTCCCTTTAGTCCTCGCCATGGCGACCTCCAACCAGAGACCACTCTGACGATACCTAATTAGCTACAGGGCTCAAATTTTAAACTCATCTCCCATTGAACCTTGTCCCTCTACCATCGACACCCAAACGCGTCAGCATCCTGATCACTCCCTCGTGCAGATCCGAAATAGCACAATTGCTCCTCTCCTTTCAACGTGAGCAGATCTCTACTTCCTTCTTCTGCACAAATCGCCTTCGGCTCCCCAATCCCTACAGCTTCACAATGTCTCCAAACACAATCCTCCTAGAAATTCCAATAGCACAATAAGGGTTCACACAAATGGGAGTTGATCCTGCAGCTCTTACATTCAAACCCGCCGAAACACTTTACTAAAAACTCTCAAAACAAACCACCAAACGGCGAACAAAAGCATCTCGAAATCATCAAAGAAGACACCACCGGATCGCAGAAACGTCCTCCAGACGCACTGAATGTGGCTGCGAGATGCAAAATTTGTCGCAGTTGCGAAGGTAGCTTCAGATCTTGTGAGAAGGAGAGGTGATGGATTCCGACTCAGAACGGTCGTGTCGGAAGACGCTATTCCATTCATGGAACTGTTCTTCTGACTCTGCCAATGACCAACCGACGACGATGGAGGCACTACTTTTAATTGAACACTCTGTTCAGAAAGCAGAAATCATAAAGAAATATGGGAACAGATGTAAGAGTGAAGAAAACGAGGAAAGACATTCGGCAGAAAGAAAAAGAGCTCGAACAGTAAGAGGAAAGAAATTGAACGGCAGAACTAGAAGCTCTCAATAGTATGTTCATAATGATAATTACAGTGATCTCTATACAAAATTATACAAATATAGCATCTAATCATAAAACAGATTTTAATGACTATTTCTAAAAAATAAAAGTCGTGATTTAAATTTGGGTTTTTCGTTTTTATTAAATTTACATAAAGTTCTTTTTTAACAATTGTTTTGCATTAAGAATCAATGCTACGCAAAATGTACTAGGAGCACATAGTCTTTGAGGTTAGAACAAATGACTTTTTATTGATTGAAATTGGGTTTTTAAAACATCACTATTATTTCCAAAAATCTTTGGACATTGTATGGTAAAATCGCTCTGGTGATTAAACAACTACAATGGTGAGAAAAATGATAATTGAAAGGAAATAAAAGAGTTACATTAAAATAAATCATTGTTGATGATTTTTATATCATAGGAGTCTTGGAACCATTTTCTTCTTTTTTCTACTGCTAGTTTGTGTATATACATACATCAATTTAAAACTTGTAAAATATATATATGTGTGTAAATATATATATATATATATTTATATTTATATATATATATATAAACGGTAACAACAATTATCCAATTCTAAGACGTTCCATAGATCCATGTGAGAGGAAAAAAAAAACATAATTGGTGCAATCACATGGTTTTCGAATCAGTTCTAACCATTACAAACAACAATACAAATCTCAATTAAAAAATACAAAAAAAGAAAAAGGTTCTTATTTTGTTGGTATCTGTTGATCAAAGACACCTCACCAAAACATGTAAAGAAAACGTGACTCAAGGCGAAATTCAAATGTGAAAATGGTCATAACCAAGAGAGAGAATCCAACGAGTAAGAAAATAATGGACAATCCCCTAAAGAACAAAGTCAACATAATCAAAACACTAAACTTAATTCACACAATCCAGTGATGCTTTTCCTATGCTTAATCCCACCATTGACTGCAAGCTCTGCGAAGGAACGTCGCTCAGTGCGCATCGATGTTCACCTCGTTCCCAAAGTTCGCATGGCATTCGAGAACCGACAACCGCAGCCAGCATTCGTGTGGGGTTCGGCGTCCATGCTCACCTTCATTACTCTTGTGCTGCTCACCTTAATTACTCTTGTGCAGGGTCCCGAATTCTTACGCGGATTTGGAAGCTTTTCGGGTGGAATTGGTTTTGGGTCACCAGGTTTAGGGTTGGCGTGGGTGTTGGGGCGGAGGATTTGCGCTCTAGCTCGCCTCGGGCAGTCCTCGAAAGGTTCTCCTACCGTGCTCTTCTATGTGAGCAGTTCGATCGTGGCACTTCTCTCGTAGTCAGTCTTGAATGTAAATCATTCTTGTTTTACGCACTAAACCCGGGAATTGTCATTTCATGAGTGGTTAATACGAGGCCACGATGCGGATTGATCCATGCTTCTTAGCAAATGAGATTCACCATTTTAGGGTTATTTGTAGAGGTCATTGTGCGTCGTCTTTGATAAAGCATTTTAAACGAACACTCTCGGTGGTGTGTTAGGGGATTGGGATCATGCAGCTAGAAAGCATAATGGTTTGGTGGTTTTTCATCAAATGATGTTGAGGGGGAGACTTTGTATTCAGGAAACAAGGCGAGAGATCACAATTACCAATTTTCATGATTGGTTGTTATTGAGAAGCCTCACTAAGTTGATTTTATACTAAGAAAAATTAGTTCAAAAGCTTTAAGAAGAAAAAACAGGGTAGAATGCATTGGTCTAACTATAATTATGAAAATAAAAATAAAAATCTATTTAAGTAAAGATAATTGAAAATAACCATTGATATGTATAAATAAATTGAGCAATGCAAATAAGAGAATAAGGAATCATGAAGTAAGTACACTTTATGCATTTAAATTTAGTACACGAAAAAAGAACATGAAAAATTACCTTGGTATATAAAACAAAATCCTAACTAGTATAGCAAAACAAAACACATAAAGAACTACAAGGTGGATATTCTCCTTTTACTACATAAACACCCCTATGCCACACATCTCTATAGAAACAAAATAAAACTCTTATTTATACTAAAATATTTTACACAAAAAGATTTGTGTGCACAAACGTTCATAAATTATATTACTATTTAAAGATTTATTTAGAATCATAAGTAATAATTTTATTTTAAGAATTTAAAGCAAAAAAAGTATTTGAATGTAAAAATTATATAAGTCAACCTAATCTACATAAAAAATACAAATTTTTATGTAATACATGTGATAATATATATACACATTTTTTTTGTTGTGTTAAAAGTATTACTAAAAACAATTGTGGGAAAAGAAAGGAAAGGAAGTAAAATAAAATAAAACTCCTTTTCTTCTTCTTCTATTTTTTATTCTAATTGTTACTTCTTTTCCTAATATTCACCCCAATGTAACTGCCCACAAAATAAAAATTGTAGAAGCGAATAAGAATAAAACAACGTGTCGCTAACGCAGTTTAAAACACCGATGTTTTTCTGAATTTGTTCGTTCTAGAAAGGCTTTCTCCAAAAAAATTAAAAACACATAACAAATATGAAAAAAAAAGAGAGAAGCTTGCCCATAGGTACAATCCAACTTTAATCAGAAAACATGTCGTCATTTTCTTCATTGTAAAATACTCTGCTCAAAACACCCGCATCCATCAAGGCTATCTCATAAACTCACCAACTCAATGAAATGGCGAGAAAATCCCTCAGGCGAGGTATCCGACGACAATTTCCAAGATGGAAAGTGCCAAAGCTGAGGAAGGAGGAAAAGGGAGGAAAAGGTCTTATCAGAGACACGGTACCAGTAACGCGGTACCAGCGCAGCGGTATCAGAACTTTGGAGGCTGCAGGGTGTACGCCAGGTTGCAGAAAGGGAGCCAGGATTGCGTGATTGCGGGCCTGGTTGCAAAGCCGGATGTGACAGTGGAGCAAGTTGTGGCGTCAGGCGAACAAGGCCAGGCCAGAGCAGGGCAGGGCAGGGGCTGCTTGGCCGTATCGGCGTCTCGTCCACTGACAGCGCTGAATGCATGCTGCCGGGTCTGGGATGTAGCGCAGGGCACCCTCAATCACGGACACAGTGTGATCTACATACCGCTATCATATATCAATTCTTCTTTAACTTCTCGGTGTGACGTTCCTACCACTTGCACAACGCCCACTCCCACCCCCACTTTCCTCACTCTTTTCCTCCAATCCTTCCTCTCGTGCTACTTTTGTGTGTGTTTCGCGGTTGTGAATGATCTGAGCACTGGAGTTTGTGCGAGATTTGGAAGAGATACTGTCCAAGAGCTCGAAGAGTCGGCTGTCGGTGTGCGGTGTAACATGGAAGCAGGTTTATGAATGTAGGTGTGTAAGTTATCAATATGGTTTACAGCACATTGTAATCAACCGATGCGCGTTGGCTTGGTCGGGGTGTCAGAACGCTTGGCTGATCCGACTCGCTGCGCACGGTGCGAAGCGACTCCACAGAGCAAGCTTCGTTGCATTCTGAGATTGCATTTGAGGTGTAGGATCGAGTTACTGGGTGTGTACCAGGGATCGCGTGGTTATACTGTTGAGAATCCGTGTTGTGAGTTCCCTTCATTGCTCATGCAGCGCGTGTCGTTGTGGTGCGTGTTTCAGCAGGTGCAGTGTTGCATTCGCCCCGATCGACCTGTTCTTGCTGCAAGGCGGTAAAGTGTCTGAGGATTGACAGTGGAGTGCTTTCCAGTTTTAGGGTTTTGTAGTTCGCAGTAGTTCCTGCGTAAGCAAGGACAATGCCTCTGTTTATGACGGACTCGGAGCTGGAGGCAGAAGGTGGAAACGTAGATGCGATCGTGGCGAAGGCCGATGCATTCATTCGAGTCTTACAACAACAATTAGAGACGCACAAACAGGCGTGCGCCGATGTTGAGGAAATGTTCCTTACGGTAGGCCTTTAGTGTTAACTAATATTGTTCCTCAAAGCGGTCAATTTCAACATCGAGCTAAAATCAACGCCTACTAGTGCCGCCGGGCAGACGCTCTGTGTTTATATACCCTCCTGACTGCCACCGCTGATGCTCTTACTGTGACTCTTTAGACATATTCATTGATCTCCTTTCGTGGTCAGTTTTGTTGCTGCATTTATTTATCTTGTAGTGACAACTGTTTTGCGGAGATCATTTCTGAAGCTATGTTCGTATAGCGGAGTATCGTCTAAGTTCTTGTGAAGGGTGCCAAAGGACTCAAGTTGTGTGAACCATCAGCTATGCACTTCCTGTGCAGGCCGAGAAGAATGCTAGAGACGCCGCGCAGGCTTTGCAGGAGTCAAAGGAACAGAAACTCGATTTAGAAGCGAAGCTGAAGTTCAGTCGTAAGGCACGTGGAATCAGTAGTGGCTAATGTGCTTTCTGCCCTATACAAGAGTAATTTTCCCCGGCTACTCTGGTGGTGCTCTCTAGTTGATTAATGCTTTAAAGTCTCACCTAGTTGATTCTGTGTGTTGGTTGTGAATTTGGCAGCAGCTGAATTCCGTCAAGAAAGCTCATGGTGCGAGGGAAGACCAGCCTGGAGCTAAAATTGCTCCGGTAGTTGATGAGTTCCACGTTCAGTGAATGTTGGTGGCTAGGCTTACATTCAACACTTGAAATATGGTCTGAGGTTTTATTTACCTTCGGAGTCTTAATTGTAAGATTTTGCGCTACAGGAAGCGGTTACAAAGGAAAAGGTACAGAAAGTGCCTGTGAAGACCAAGCATATAGTGGTAAAAGCCAAAGAGGGTGGAGTGTTCAATTCTCTTGTTGAAGATGCAAGCACAGGACCGATGTATGCAGTGCTGACGATCTCCAGTTTCAATTAACTGCTTTGTTTGTCTTACTCAGTTTAGGAACACTTACCACTCAAGATCTAAACATTACATACAAGCCTCAAACCATCTATGTTTATTTATCCTCGTCCACTTACCTCTCGTGATCCATCTCGCTGCAGTTTAGCTTGTTGCGATACACTGTTTAGTTGACCTACTCTATTGTTTACTTTGTGCAGAGAGACATGTGCAGCTTCAATAGATGCCTCTCCAGCCCAAGCTTCTGGGCTTTTCCAGAAAACGAGCGACAGTGCTCTCACTCAAAACTGTTGTACTGAAAGTGAGGCGGACCAGAGAATGATTCATCCAGCTCAGAAATCCTTGCCGTCGGAAGTTACTGTGACGGCCACACCACGTGGACTCAGAGCCATCTCTTTAGAACTGTCCAAGGAGGATCAAGATGCCCTTGAGACCTTGGACAAGGAGGACGCAAAGTTGGGAGAAGAGATTGCTGCAGTTAAGAGCAAAGGCGGGACCACTTCCGGGTTCAGCTTCAAGAGCCACGAGCGAGCCGAGAAGCGGCGTGAGTTCTATTCCAAACTAGAGGAGAAGATGCGAGCTAAGGAAGAAGAGAAGCACCAAATCGAGGCCAAAACTCAAGAGGAGGTGGAGAATAAGGTGAAGGAGCTGAGAAAGGGATTGAAGTTCAAAGCCACGCCCTTACCAAGCTTCTACCAAGAATCAGGCCCTCCGAAAGTAGAAATGAAGAAGATCCCACCAACCCGAGCAAGGTCCCCCAAGCTCACCACCTCACGACGAGCTACTCATCGAGGAGGAGGAATAGAGCACGATCGATCAAAATCCCCGGTTGCAACAATGAGGACTACAGACCACCCCAAGGACGACTCCAAGAATGGACTCAAGGATGAGACGAGGAAGTCGCTTCCACGGCGTCCAAAAACCAGTGCCTCGTTAGATAGACGTGCAAGTCTCGGCTTGGGGATTGGCGGTGCAACCAGCAAAGACCAACCCGTGAACGCAGTGGCACCAGAAACGGCTGTTGCATTCTGAAACGAGCTGCTGTAACTTGTCGATGTTCCGAACACGTCGATTCTAGCAAATCCAGAAAACTGTTTTTTTGAAACTTCTTGGTATACATAGGCCTTCAGATGTTCCAAACGCAGTAATAGCTGCCCAGATGGGTTTCAACACTCAATATTGCTGCTGAGAGTAGGCCAGTTGACACGAGATGGACCTATCCTGTCAACGATGCGGGTCCCAGCATCAGTGCCTTATTCTACATATCTAGTGCCGCGTTGGCAGTTGGTCAGGGACGTTTTGGAAAACTGTAGGTAACTAACCGTCTGTGCCTCTGTCATGGATTTTGTCTCGCCACTTCGCAGATTGTGTGTGTGCGTCAGGTTGGAAGTGTATCGAACCATGAATCCCCTGGCAGTGAAACTTGAGCCCAATGACGAGTGCAAAAGATTGCAGGATGAGTGACAGTATCTAGAGTAATTTTTCTGCATCAACGTGAGACATTCAATACGAAGTTGGGCATTTCTAGTATAACCATCGTCGTTTCAGATATCGTTGCGTTACTCGTGACGTTGCCCACTGCACAACTCAACTATGCTTTCTTCTGTCAGAATGTATGTATTTTTGTACGAGGAAACATACGGGTATAGTCAAATCTCTGAAGAATTTCGCTTTTTGTTCTTATTTTTTATGACCTCCATAATTTTTGGATTGGTTTTATTTTCACCATCAACATATTGAAAAATATTGATTTACATCAGGTACATTCAATATACCTTTATACCGTAAATAAAGCTATATGAATGTCATTCTTCATTTTAATGCTATTAGATGGAATCTACTTGTCATATCTTTATGTAAATCAATATTTTTCAACATAATGATACCATCATATTTCATGTTTAGATTCCCAATTGTATTACTTTTCTTTCTTATAGGTTTTCTACAACTTAGAAAATACATTTATTAGCATAGAGATCAAATTTTGATCTTTTTTAGTAACCATGAATATATGTTGCATAATTATATGTTGTATACTTAAAAAATTTATAGTCTTAATTAATCTAAGGATCTATAATTTTACTTCGTCTTAATTGCATCTAATAGCAGTTAATATAAAATGATTTATCAAAATATTGATAGTTTGATAGCTTTAATCTAAAAGTTCTATTTCAATTTAGAATATTTTAAAATGCTTTGTATTTTTTCCAATAATATATATTTTTTTGTTTCATTTTATTCAAAAGTACTTAAAGTATTAAAATAATAGATTATTTCTTTATCTTTGCATAACTTATCAATTTTAATGTAGATTTTGTTTATAATTAAGTCTTAAATATTTTACTTTTTGTCTACTTTTTTGAAAAAAGAAAATATTTTAGATTTTTTTTATTAATTATATTCATGTATTTTTTGATAAGTCATATATATATATATATATATATATATATCTCTCTCTCTCTCTCTCTCTATATATATATATATATATATATCTCTCTCTCTCTCTCTCTCTATATATATATATATATATCTCTCTCTCTCTCTCTCTCTCTATATATATATATATATATATATCTCTTTCTATATATATATCTCTATATATATATATCTCTCTATATATATAGATATATCTCTCTCTCTCTATATAGATATATCTCTATATATATATATAGATATATCTTTCTCTCTCTCTCTCTCTCTATATATATATATATATATATCTCTCTCTATATATATATAGATATATCTCTCTCTATATATATATAGATATATCTCTCTCTTTCTATATATATATAGATATATCTCTCTCTCTATATATATATAGATATATATATCTCTCTTTCTCTCTATATATATATAGATATATCTCTCTCTCTCTCTATATATATAGATATCTCTCTCTCTCTCTATATATATAGATATATCTCTCTCTTTTCTCTCTCTATATATATATATTTATATATATCTCTCTCTCTATATATATATATCTCTCTCTCTTTCTATATATATATATATATATTTATTTAAAAAATATAAATATTATTAATAAAAGCTTCTATACATTTAAATATATATAGTCTAACATACTTGAAGTTATTTATAATTATGGTTAAATTATCAATGATTTTGTTATATATAAGTTGTCTATTTTTTTTTTTATTAATTTGTATCAAATTCTTATACATAATGTTATATAATACATTTTTTACAACATCAATCAAATCATGCTTAAAATACTTAAGTTATTTATTTATTTTTTTGTAACTTATACATATATGCTTCTTGCCTAAGAATTTGTATTGTTGTCAAATACAAGAACTTAAAGAATGAAAATAAATTTGTAAGATGTCTTTCAAAGAAAGTATGTATATTCAAGAAGAAATTGGAATGATTATTGCTAATGACAAAGAGGCTAAAACTCTTGAAATTACACTAGAAAGAAGATTTGAATTGACAAGAGTGAGGAAGTACATACTCTTACCTTTATATATACTATATAACTAGGAACTAAAAGACAATGTTTTATAAGACCTTGAACACATGTCAAACTTGTAAGATATATGTCTAACTTGAAAGACAAGTTTTTTATATGGATGCTATATGGCCAACATTTATAACATGTGGACAACTTGTTAGGAAAATTTATAATCTACCAATTCCCTACAAATATGTATAAAATCGAATCTATGAATATAAAACTTTTAAAAAACTTCTTCACAAGAAATTATCAAATTTATCTATATTTATTTACTTTTACATAATTCCTTTTATTTAGATAATTACTAGTATTGGTCATATCTATAACAATTGTGTATGTTGTACAAACAAATCTTTTACTTCAATTATTATCGTTTTTTTTTTTTTTTTTTTTCTATCATATATTTTTTACTTTAGATTTTACATTTAAAATATTTTCTACCATATTTTTTTTATTTAATCATGTTTTAATTCCAATTATTATAAAAATCAATATAAAATAATAAATAAATAAATAAATAAGTAAAAATATATAAAATAAATATAATATAATTTTTTTTATTAAAATAAGTAAAAATTTATATATACAATTATACTTATATACAACAAAGTACTAGAGCAATTAAAAATTTCAAAGACTAGTAAAAAAATAAACTAAAAAACTATTAAAAAAAATGTATACCAAATTATAGAAGATTGTACCATTTACAAACAAATATATTTACTTCAATAATTACCTTAATAATATGAGTAGGTAGAAGTAGATTAAAATAGATAAATTTGATAATATCTTGTTGAGTAGCTTCTTAGAAGCTTTATAGACACAACTTTAATTTTATATGTGTTTGTAGTGAATTGATGGATTGAAAACTTGGCCAAAAGTTAGTCACATATTGTATGTATTAGTAGCTTATAGTACAAGCTAATTATGTAGTGCTCATATAAAAAACTTCTCTTGTAAGTTAAATACATGTCATGTGAATTGGATACATGTTGGAGGTCCTATAAAGTGTCACCACATAACTCCCAATTAAATAATCAATCGTTTTTAACATATCTTTTAAATATATAAGCTTTTACTTCTACTAAAATAAAGTAGATACTTATTTCTTATACTTAACTATGAATAATTTGGAAATATAACTTTAGCTTAAGTAATTGGTTCAAAAAAGAGGTTGGAAAATGGTCCACATTAGTAATTAGTATGAATTATTTAGTAGCACCCACTTGATTTAATTCTAAACCAATCTTTTAAATCTTGGTAAATATTTTTCATTGTACAACAAAAAGAGCTATGAGTTGCTTTATTGTATTAATTCCAAATAATTATGATGTTATTGTATTGGCATCTAGTTCTATTGTATATGTAGTGGTCTTAGCTAAGGTAGAAAGATGTAATATAAAAATTACTTATCCTAAGTAAATAACGCTTAATGATTAAAAACTAGGATTAGAGTACTTTAATACATACATCATATCCTTCTCTCCAAATGATGAAAAGTGTTCATCAGAGAAAAGGATATTGTCTTAAAGTGCGAGGTAACTAAGCTTTGTCAACTATCCTGCAACACTCAAAGCAAATACCAGAATCTGGTGTAGAATTTTTATTTGCTTGGTGTGACGATGCTCGCGTGCTTTCGCTCATTGAATTGTTGATAGGTCGAGTAGTTTGGCCTCACTTTTTTATGGTAATTGTGTGTAGGTCCCACTATAAGCTGACACACAATTATCCACAAATAGAGTTATCCACAAAATCTGACAAGCTTTCAGACCTGCGGGCACAGCGAGCTCTGTGTAAATAATCTTTGTAATGGTTTTGTCAGATTTGATTAACATCAAAGCATTATTATTTTATTTTTTTTTATTCACTTGAAAGTCAGTTACTCACTACGGTTATAAAATATCCTGTGAATCTTCATAATTTGAAGGGCTTGACGGGTGATGTAGCGAGTGAACGAACAGCATCAATTTCTTTGACGGATCAGGAGAGGCTTCGGAAGTTCAAGGACCACAATTGTCATCAACAATTCATCAACAATTTGACCTGCAAAATGTGATCAATTACCTGCGCCGATCTAAAGAGATTGCAGTCAAGTCGAAATTATAGTGGTGCTTTGAATGTTCATTGAAGCTAATTTTCAAGTTCAGGAAGGTTGAGTGTGTTTTGAAGTGTTTTGCATGTGAACACGGAGCTCAAATTTTTGAAGCAAGAACGGTTTCGATGCAGAAACATGTATTCTGAGCTTCAGTGTGATGAGAATACTCTTAAAAGCAGGATCCACCCTATCACAGTACTCCACAATGTTTAGTACAACAGGTTTTAGGAACATGTTACTTTGGCAGTCATATATATATATATATATATATGCAAGAATGATGTTATAGAGATGCCTGAAAGACCGTGATACAAGCTATAATATTGGATACTCGCGGAGTGATTCTTTTCTTTTATGAAGATGGTTCAATTTCTGTTTTCTTCTTTTTGATATTCACAAGTATGCATTGTACGCTGGAGCTTATGCCCTGTGATATTGATCAGCTGGAATAGGCTTCTCAGGCTGCTGAGGAAGCAAATACAAGTCTTCCTCGGGAACATGAAAGCACAGTAGCTAATTTGTACGCTAAGAATGAATTTCAAATGCTTTGAGTCCAGTTAATCGATCCTGTCTGGAATTGTTTCTGAAATTGATTAGCCTTCTTGTGGAGCAAGCGCCTCATTCAACGTGTGCAAGTTCGTTGTTTACCACTGCTATCGGCCAACCATTCTGGTACACTTTGTTCTTAAATTCAGGATCGAGAGACTGAAACTTGGACTTCTCTGGGGATTGCTAGGATGGAAATTCGTGATTTGAAGGCGCATGTAGCAAAGTACGAACATCAGAAGCAAGCAAAGGACAGTAACTTGATTAACTCAGGGAACAGTTGTCGGATTTGGACGTAAAACTGCAAGAAGCTTTGCAAAACGAAGTACTTTTGCTTGAAAATTTAGATTACTTAAGTACTGAATGGTTTATGACTATTTGTTGGCGTAGGAGATTCATTACTAGGTGAGCATGGGATGCTTGATGAGAATAGCTAGTACACTTACATTGTTAAAAGCACTAGCAACATCCAAGTAGTGAGCATGATTTCGCTAACTAGTACAACATTGGTTGGTTTATCAAATCGTATGGCGCAATTCTCGAAGTCTTATTTGTAATTGA